GGTGTGCGGTGGGTGGGGACACGTGGACTGGCGGCGCAGGCGTGAGTGAGGTGTCGAGCTTGACCGAGGTGAGTGATGGATGGGGAAGCAAGGAGTGGCGAGTGTCGAGTACCTGCCCTTTTGTGGAGTGATGGTTGGGGGTGGAAGTGGTAGGGGAGGAACAAGACGAGTATGGCTGACTTGTATGGGAGCTGAGGTTGCCCTGGCGCACGCAGGCTGGGTGCAGCCAGGGCAAAGCGCAGAGGCCACTCCCTCCGTCTGCCTCGCTTGGCGGCGAGTGTTGCTTGTTGTTGTCCTGGCAACTGCCTCCGCGCGCGCATCTCCCCTTGGGCGTGTCCCTCGTCCGTCGTCTGCATGATTTTCGGAAGCGGCAGAGGCCAAGTGCGCCTCCCGCTGCACAACTCACTCAGAGGTGACCACTTCTTCCTCCCTGACTCACCCAGAAAATCGCAGACATCCTCACCTGCGACGTCATACCTTCCTCAGCCCCACTTTGTATGCGCCTGCCAGTACCCGCAGTACCAGCAGCATATAGACGGATCCTCCACAGACCTTGCGTACCACTGCAGACACCCCAAAGGGCACGACTCACCTCAGCTCTTCCTCACCCCTCCCCTTTCCGCACCATGTCTTCCTCGGCCACTCCCGCCAATGTCGCCGTCGAGGTCAACCGCACCGCTCACGCCTTCTCTCGCGCCCAGCTTGAAGGTGTGATGACCAAGCGGTTCTTCTACAACCAAGCGTTTGAGATCTATGGAGGTGTAGCTGGTCTGTACGACTATGGACCAATGGGCGCAGCATTGCAGGCCAATATCATCTCCGCCTGGAGGAACCACTTTATTCTCGAAGAGGAGATGCTCGAGCTGGACACCACCATCATGACTCCCTATGACGTTCTTAAGACCTCAGGCCATGTGGACAAGTTCGCCGATTGGATGTGCAAGGACACAAAGACCGGAGAGATCTTCAGAGCAGACCATCTGCTAGAGGGTGTGCTCGAGGCTAGGCTCAAGGGCGACGAAGAGGCCAGGGCAGCCGAGGGCGACGCTACTACTCAGAAGCAGGAGGTGCCAGCCGAAAAGGGAGACGACAAGAAGGTCAGGAAGAAGAAGGTCAAGGCACAGGCAGTCAAACTTGACCCCACTGTCAAGGCCGAGTACGAGAACATTCTGGCCCAGATCGACAACTACTCCGGCCCCGAGCTCGGAGCCTTCATGAAGAAGTACGATGTCCGAGCACCCGAGAGCGGCAACGAAGTCGGCGAGCCGGTTCAGTTCAACCTCATGTTCGAGACCCAGATCGGTCCTACTGGAGGCCTCAAGGGCTACCTTCGTCCCGAGACGGCCCAGGGACACTTTGTCAACTTCTCCCGTCTCTTGGAGTTCAACTCTGGCCGCGTTCCCTTTGCCTCGGCTCACATCGGCAAGTCATTCCGTAACGAGATCTCACCTCGAGCTGGTCTGCTGCGCGTGAGAGAGTTCACAATGGCAGAAATCGAGCACTTTGTTGACCCTCTCGAGAAGGAGCACACTCGCTTCGACGAGGTAGCCAATGTGGAGCTGGCTTTCCTGCCAAAGGACGTCCAGCAGGCTGGCCAGACGACATTGGTGACCAAGACAATTGGCGAGGCCGTGTCGAGTGGTATGGTGGACAATCAGACCCTCGGCTACTTCCTTGCCCGGATCAACCTCTTCCTCTTGAAGATCGGCATTGAGCCCTCGAGGTTGCGCTTCAGGCAACACATGGCAAACGAGATGGCCCACTACGCCTCGGACTGCTGGGATGCCGAAATCCACACTTCCTACGGCTGGATCGAGTGTGTCGGCTGTGCAGACCGTTCTGCCTACGATTTGACCGTCCACGCCAAGAAGACCAAGAAGGACCTAGTGGTGCAGAAGGTTCTCAAGGAGCCAAAGGTCTACGAGAAGTGGGTGGCCAACATCGACCGTAAGTCGCTAGGCCCCAAGTTCAAGAAGGACGCAAAAGCTGTCGAAGAGGCCATTACTGCTCTTGAACAAGAACAGCTTGAGAGTCTCTCTTCTGCCCTGAAGAACGGACCCACAAAGGTGCCCGGTACGGAGTACGAGATCAGCAGTGACCTAGTTACCGTCGAGCTCAAGTCAATCCGTGAGACCGTGCGCGAGTTCACACCAAACGTTATCGAGCCCTCCTTTGGTCTCGGCCGTATCTTCTACGCACTCCTGGAGCATTCCTTCTGGGCTCGTGAAAAGGATGCGGGGCAGGGTGTCCTATCCCTCAACCCGCTCGTGGCACCCATCAAGGTCCTCGTAGTCCCCATTTCGGCAAATGCCTCGCTTGCTCCTTTGGTAAAGGACATTTCCGCCCGCCTGCGCAAAGAAGGCATCGCCTCGCGCGTAGACGACTCGTCTGCCACAATCGGGCGACGGTACGCACGCAACGACGAGTTGGGAACTCCCTTTGCCCTCACGCTGGACTTTGCAAGTCTGCAGAATGGCACAATGACGCTTCGTGAGAGGGACACGACGGGTCAGCTCATTGGATCGATTGAGGATGTGGTCAAGACGATCAAGGGGCTTTGTGAGGGTAGTATAAGCTGGCAGGACGCTGAAGGTACGCTGAAGAAGTACAGTGGAGAGCAGGCATTGTGAGGTCCTTGGAACGGCAGTCGGAAGTGCGGGGTGGTGATAGCTTGCAATGGTTGTAGCTGCTCAATACACACTCTGATCAAAGCAGAAAGACTCTTCACATCTGATGGCTGATTGATTTTTGATCTATAGTGGTACGACCTGCTCACAGCTCACCTTGCGCCAATCTACAATTCCTCAATGACCAAATCCTCATCCTCCCCTTCCTCTTCCGCTCCCACCAATTCATCAATTGCCCTCTGATCGCTCCCTTCTTCCCCTCCCCCTTCCTCATCCCTCTCCGTCGCACCACTCTCCTCCCTCTGCAATAAATTCACCAATCTCAATACCGCTTCACCAATCCTTTCCTCTTCTTCACCCTTGTGCATCTCTCGAACTACATAGTATACTCCCCTTGCCCGCATCACTTTTCTTCCATGGAAAGTAGTGCAGAGTAAGAGGAGACATTCGATGAGCATCAGACGAAGAGCACCATCTCGTTCTGCTCTATGCGTATCGGGGAGGAGTTGTAGCTCGTCTGGAAGAGAGAATTGCTCTTCATCCGAGAGGGTTTCGAGGAGTGTAGAGGTGCATAGAGGAAGGAGGAGAGAGGGGAGAATGTCGCATTCCTCTATTGAGCTGGCCTCGAGGGCAGGTGGTGTAGAGGCGCTGTCCTGTTCTGGCTCGTCGGCCGCTGTGGATGGGATGGTGAGGCTTGTTGGGTCTGGGAGAAGAGTAGGGTGGAGAGACTTGACAAAGAGGCAATTTTTGAGAGTGGAGATGCAGCCTCCTCTGCGGATCAGATCGGGGTGCTCGGTGTAGGGAAAGAGACGAACGAGGGGGAGCGTTGATTGTAGAGATGCGTTCAAAGGAGTGGTGAAGAAGGTCCGGCCGAGGGGGAGCTGTGGAGTTGCATTGAACGTGGCAGTCAAAGAATGTCTGTCAGCTACGAAAGAGCGACGCTCCACTCTCTATTTGTGAACTTACAGCGCTGACATTCGCAAAGACGCTAGCAAGAAAGTGGCAAGTAGACTTCCTCTCTCCATCTCCCACCTCCTTCTCTGCCTCCCTAACATCCTTGCCCGCCATCCCCGCCTCTCCCACTTTTCTTTTCATCTCCTCCAAAGCCTCTCCCGCCTTACCCGCACTCACACTCGCTCCCTGATCAAAAGCTGCCAGGAGCAATTCCAATCCACCAACTTCTTCACCAGCAACACTAGTCCGCATTTCGATGAGTTGCCGACTGCTTTGATCGTCGAATTTGGTGAGATTGGAGAGGAGCATGGAGGCTAGATCGGCTAGGATTGAGGTCGGGTGGGAGATGTACCCTACCAGGAAGGAGAGGAAGGAAGGAGTGGAGATCTTTCGGGCTAGGATTGGCGAGGAACAGAGGTTGATGAGCAGGGAGAAGGAGGAGTGGGCTGTTGGCTATGGAAGTGAAAGTGGAAGTGGAAGGCGATCAACGAAAGGTGAGCTTATGCTCATGCGCAGCTCTCACATTCCAGTCTACTCACCGTCAAATCCATGCTCAATCTCCTCACGTCCTCAAGAACATCCTGTCCATCCCCTTCTCCCCCTCGCTCCTTTGCAGTCAGCAGCAACAATCCCCTCCTCGGATGACCCTGTGTAGAATATCCAGCCAGGTTGCTCAAAGCAACCTGTCGTACCTGCCAATTGTCCGACGAGAGGAAAGAGAGAAGCTCCAACTCTTCCTTTGTTGCTGGTGGATGTAGCGGGAGAGACATCTTGCGATTGTAGCTCTTGTCGTCGGGTATCGAGAGGAAGTGATGATGATGAGGGATGCGTACATGTATGCAGATCGATCGATCGGCTTCCCTCACGGAAGTAGAGAAATTCCCGCCTTGAGCGTGGCGGAGTTGCAGTCACTTCTTCGCGCAGCGCCAGTGGAGGCAAATGCCGCACAAGCCACAGATAGACCTTTACGTCTTCTCACTACCTTCATACCGGAAGGCTCAAGGCGAGTCAGACGGGTGTATAGACAGAGTAAAGAGATTCGTGACATTTGGAACTTGAAAAGAGAAGATCAAAGAAAGAGAAAGTGGAAGAGAAAGAGACCCAAAGGGATCGTGTGGCCCAAGCTTGGCGAATGTGAGTATGAGGGGTTTAATGCAATGTGTGGGTAGAGTTGTACCAATTTGGTCGGTTGCGACGGATTAGCGGGGGCTGAGCGCGCAAACAGAGGAAAAGGGAAGAGGCGAGAAGAGAGAAGAAGAAATGAGGAAAAGAAGAAGTAGAAGTCATGTATTCGTCGTGTCGTGATTGTCGTTGCAGGGTCATTAAAGTGCTCTTCTAGCCTCGTCGTCCAGAGCTCGTAGGTGACAGTAAGGACTTGTCGTTGCGGAGGTCGCTGATGCTTGCTGGCTGGCAGGCACTTGAGTCTCTTCAAACACCTTGTCTCACCTAGCCGCTTGCTCGAAGAAGGTTGTGAACCTCCGACGAATCCTAGACTGACGCTTCTGGAGGTCTGCATTCCCATTGGCATGAACAGGCCCACCATTGCTCGCAGATGCCGCCACTGATGCATTGGCAGCACTGGCAGCAGCAGCCGCAGAGGGTGGAGAGCTGACGGCAGCGAAGCTTGATGCATTGAGGTCGGAGCTGGTGCTTGTAGCTCTGGTCTTGCCGCTTTCCACGGCTGCCTCTCCAGAAGGACGGGCACTGTCACTAGTCGATTCCCCGCCTGGAGCTCCACTTGAGGCCCTCGCTACACCTTCCGATGGGCGGCGCCCTCCTTCTGGACTGCCATCGGCGACGAGTCTGCTTGGTGCGTCTTTGGCAGCACTGCTTCTACCATTGGCAGCTACGTTGCCGCTTGAGTCCAGAGACACAACGCTGCCGGACTTGAGATCCGCCTTGCTAGGTCTTGTCATCTCAGCAGATGCATTCGCCCCTTTTCTCCGTCCTGCCAGCCGACTGAAAGGTCGAGGCGGAATCGCACCCGAGCCTTGTGCTGCACCGCCTGTAGGTCGCATGGAGTCCTGACGTCGCAGCATTCTGTAGGTGTCCACGACGCCTCGTGCAAAGAGATTCTGTCCTTTACCGCCATTCACATCTGAAGGCAAGCCGCGGCCGCTGGTTGATGAGGGGATGGCAGTGTCGACCAGGTCCCACTCCTCCTCTTCCTCTCCATCGTCCTCGTCGTCTGCGTCTCCGACAGTCTTCTCTCGGGTAGTCGGAAGAGCAGTAGCGCTTCGCCCGCCTCGTGATTGCGATGTCGATTGCCCACCCTGATCACCTTGATCGTGAGCGGCGGCTAACGTAGCAAGCGTAGATGTTGTGGTCATGCCCTCCGCATTCAGCAAAGACTGATCTTGGCTTGCCTGTCGCTCAAGAGCAGCCAGGGCAAAGACGGCTTCTCTTGTTGCCGTGTCATCATCCTCGCCGCTTGGCTCGAGCTCGTCGTCGGCGACGACAATCTCCTCCTTCCGAGGACGTTGAGGTACCGGCTGGAATAGAGGTGGTGCAGCAGACAGCATGGGAGAGGTCGGCGGCGAGGAGATCGTTGGCAGCGAGGTTGCCAGAATAGCGGAAGCAGGTATCTCCACCGAGACGCGATGGTATAGAGCATCATCGGAGGGCCTCACAGTAGTAGAAGACCTGGGCAGATCGGCAGAAGACGCTGGGCCGGGCGCGACAGGAGTCTTCCTCTCAGCCTCCAATTGCGAATGAGCATACGCTTCTGCTGGTGTAGGCGTAGGAGATCTCTCGGGCGGTGGAGGATCAGAAGCAGCGCCTCGGGCTGATCTCAGTGTGTTCTCCAGTGCGTTCTCCGAAGCAACGAGCTCGCTTGCCAGATCGCTGTCGATACTTTCAGAGCGGAAGGAAGAGCGCATCGAGCCCGAGTCTTTGCGGCCTCGAAAGGAGTAGCCGTCAAAGAGACTCTTGCCATCCGCTGCAGTGAGAGACTTGGCTAGAGCCTCGCTGGGCTTCAGGGGTGATGTTGTCATCGTTGCCGTCGCATCACCTTCTGGAGGCTGTGCCGACTCTTCGTCACCGTGTCCCACTCTAGTACCAGCATCTCCGTCGTCGTCGTCACCATTCTGCTTTTCTTCCGGATCCACGGTCTCGGCATCGTCCTCCTCGTCTTGAACGACCGGCTGCATGTCCAAGAACGCTTCATCGAAGTTCTGCGTGTCCGTTTCATCCAAAGGATTGATAGGTGGGACGTACGGCGGAATGTACCTCTTGTGGTACACGTGATCCCACTCGATCATCGAAAAGTAGGGATGCTTCTTGATGCGTGGCTCCTTCATCCTCAGCATCGGATTGCGCTGGAGCAAACCCCTCAAGAAGCCTTTGGTGTCAGAGTCCAGCACTCGATCTTCCGGAAAGACGAGCTCGTCGTGCAGTACGCGGATGTACATATCTGCATGCGTATCGGCCCAGAACGGCGTGACACCTACCAGGAACTCGTACAGCATAGTGCCAAAAGACCACCAGTCTACCTCGTACGAGTACGCTGCGCCCTGAATGACTTCCGGAGCGAGGTACTCGGCGGTACCACAGAAGGTCGTCGTCATGTCCCTCTCTTCCCTCTTTGTCGAGGGAGCAGTGGATGTACCCTCCTCAGAGGCAGACACCCAGGGTGGACGTCTAGTCTTTGGGCTTTCCGTGCCCGAAGTCGTCGCAGTCATGGCTGTCGCGGTCGTCAAGTCGCGGCTCGAGTTGGATCGGGGCGGCGAGAGAGGCGGAGGAGTGGTGCAGCCGCGTTCTCGCATTCGATCAGCACGTCGGTCAGGAAATTCCTTCGAGAGGCCAAAGTCCGAAAGGACGATGTGGCCATCAGCTGCAATGAGTACATTCTCCGGCTTCAGATCCCGGTAAATGACTCCTGCCTTGTGCAAGCCTTCGACACCCTCGACGATCTCAGCCGCATAGAAGCGAGCGCGATCGCGTCCTAGCCTGCCCCAGCGAGAGAGCTGTGTGGCCAAGTCTCCGCCGGGGTGGAAGTCCATGACAAGGTAGAGGTTCTGCTTGTCGTGAAAGCTCCACCAGAGCTTCACGCAGAAAGGGTCCAATGCTTCCCGAGCCATGCGCTTGAGGACGGCTTGTTCGGTAAGGGTATGTTGCAGCTCTTGATGGGCCAAGACGTGGCGCTTGTGTATTGACTTCATGGCGAAGAGGCCCGTTGTAGGCTTATGGCGGACGAGGAGGACCTGTCGATGGAGTAGAAAAGGTAAGCATCTGCGTACTGCGTGCTGCGTGCTGCGTACTGCCTTCGACCCTCATGTTCTGAGCCAAGTCGATCAACTCACCTTACCAGCACAACCCTTCCCAAGCACTCGAATCATCTCAAAGTCGTCCACTGTGACTTTATCTGATCTAGACCGGTCTGATTTTCTCCTCCGGTTCGGAGACTTCTTCGCAGGGGCACCCTCAGCTTTATTACCTTCAGCGCTACCGTCTGCCCATGAGCTGTCGCCGCTGGTATTGGTCTGCGAGGTTTCGGTCGTCAGGTGTTGCTGCTGAGAAGAGGCTACTGCTTCTTTCTCCTTTTCAGACTCCTCGGGAATATTCGCAAAGTGGGGGCTGGCCTTCTTGGCCGCTGCTGCTCCGCTCGTACCGACCTCTTCCTCGCCTGCACTAGACCGTCCCGATGCAGTACGTGTAAGGGCCATCGCATGGCCAGCGTTCCACGATTGTCTCGATCCGCTACGACCGCTCGTCGATCCGTTCTCGCGCTCGTCTTCGGTCCCTCGACCAGCCCAGTCCTCACCAATATCGGACTGACTTTCATCTGCACGTCGCCCTCCTTCGCCGCCCACGTTGACGTTGGTGGGTGCTACAGCAGACTTGCTGTGCGAAGCGAGATCACTACGAACACGGTGGACTCTCCGCTCGACTCTCTGGCTCTCCAGATCATCCGTCCGTACCCTTGTGAACTCCTTCCATGGCTTGGCAGTCTTGATTGTGGGAAGATTAGACAGCGTCGTAAAGTAATTGACAAGTCCAGACGTGATCTTTCCGTTTGCGACCACTGTGTCCTCAGGTGCTGGTGACTGCGCCGACGAACTTTCTGGAACAGGGACAGGTGGAGCGGTGCCATCTGTACCGGTCGCTGCTGTGGCAGTAGACGGCGCAGTGGAAGTAGTAGGCGGGCCAGAAGCTAATGACTTTGTGATCTGCTTGAGGGTGGTCCGATGGCGTGGACTGCCCGGAGACAAAGTGCGCGAGATCGTCTGGAGCAACCTGCGGCTGCCGCCATGCGAAGGCGAAGGAGACGCTGGGATAGAAGGCACATTAGACGAGAGCAGGAGTTTCGGAAGCTTCGGCAGGGAGACATTGCCGGCTTGTCGTAGCTTCATGTCCAACTCCATGATGTCTTCGACGCTCCGTTGCAGTGTGAGATTATGGGTTGGTGTAGTAATGTAGAGGGTGTAGGATTGCATCGGTGTTGCCGCCTTTGGCTTGCCCTTCTTTCTCGGCTTACGCTCCTCTCCAGCTTCTGCTACGCTCACACTCCAGGGACCCTCACCAGCAGCTAGTGAAATCTTGGTGCGTATAGGCGGAGGGCAAAGACTGTCGGCGGGTGCGTTACGTGCAAGATTGCTTGTGGATGACCTTGCCTCGGGCATCTTGCTCACCCCTACGGCCTTGAGCGGGTCAGGGCTAAAGAGGTTCTTCAGGGCGCCTCTGCTCGGAGAAGGTGTCTTCGTTATGGGAGCTGCCTTCGGACCTGTTGCCGACGAAGTCTGACCGGTCGTGCCATTTGGGGCAAGGCCCGTAGCGGCAGGCATGGCCGTTGCAATCTGGAACGGGCCAAGGGGGAGGCGGAGGAGGTGAATAGGTGTGCGATAGGAATAGAAGGGTCACCGCTGGTGCTTGTGAGCGACGGCGTCAGAAGGCGGAGTAGCTCTCGATGGTAGAGGTAAGGAGACAAGAGCTGAGCAAAGTGAGGATCTCTTGTGTCGTCAGGCTCTTGCTCGGCCCCGTACCGGACGTAGCGTCGATGAGGATGATGGGATGAAGTGCGCAAGGGGGGCCGAAGGGGGGGCAAGCCAAGGCAAGGAAGGCCGAGAGCTCGGGGCCCGTGGTCAGGGCAGCAGAGGAACAGTGCTGTCTTGAGGGGCGAGGTGTGCGCTGTAGTGGTGGCCAGATGGCAATCAAGCAACCAGGTCAGAGGCTCGAGCGGCCAAAGGCCAGAGCAAAGCACTCTCGGACCGGTCTACCACTTTGGATCCAACCTCGGACTTGGTAGATCACAGCAGTCCCTCCCTCTATGCTGCCTTGGCTCTGCTGGGATGACTATGTGGTGCCTGACGCCTTGGTGCCTTGCTGTTCCTCTCGCTCTTCTCGCCGTGATGTGATATAGAGGGATGTATCAGAACCCGTCTGTGACAAGGAGTGATTGCCGAGGGATGGCGAGGGCGAGGAGCAGCAAGAAACGGCCCGGTCCGAGCGGGGCAGGGCGGGGTTGGGGCCTGGGTGAGGGCAAGGGCAACAGCGCCCAGGAGAGAAGGAGGAGCTGCTGGATTGCCAGAGGCGAGTAGAGTAGCCAGTGAAGGGGATTATCGGTGGTTGTGCAGAGATTACAAAGTGGCTGGTGATGATGGAGACGACGACGACGACGACGACGATTCGGGATTCGATGCCTTTGAAACGCGAATCCACCCCCCCAGCTTGAATGGGACACACAGACCAGACGCATCTCGCCCGACAGTGGCTCGACGACAGGCCTCGCTTGCCTGGCCTGCCTGCATCCACTCCCTCGCCCAACGACGCGGCCTTTGAAAGAAGCACACAAAAATAACGACGCGGGGTAGACGCCTCGCGATAGGCAGGACTGACATGTGCGGGGCGAGTACCTCGGCAAGGGTCAGCTAGTAGATGGTCCTGTTCGAGCGTGACACAATGAACAGCGGTCGATCAGATCGGCGGCGCCAGACAACATGTATGATTATTGCTGATCATGCAGACATTCTAACAGAGCCTCGCCTTTCCCCCCATTCATTCACCCTTCTTCTTCCCCGCCGTCTGCTCTTCATCCTCATCATCCCCCGTTCCAATCTTCCTCCCGCCCTTGACGGGATACTTTGAGCTCATGGTAGGCAAAGGCGCCATCTCCCTCTTCTCCGCATGGATAGAAGGAGGCAGAAGCAGCAAAGTTCCATTGCTCCTGAAGAGGCCACTGGAGCCAGTCGAGTACCACGTGCCACCTTCGACGTTGCCCGGGTCTCCTTGCCCTTCGGTACCGTTCGTTGTCAAGGTGGTACCGCGAACAAGGACCTGACCAATGACGTCTCCGGGACCCTTGAAGCGTTCCCAGCCGTGAGGCGTCTTTGCGTCTTCTCCGTCCTTGACGAGCTTGATCTCTACGCTGACAGAAGGAGGACCAACATGCGCGGGCATCTCACTGATCCTGTTGTTTGCCTGGAAAGCTTGCACGTCGTAGGAGTGTGACGAAGCAATGGGAGCAGTCAGCCAAGCCGATGAGAGAGCTCCACCGCTCTGGCCACCCCTGCTTTCAAGGGGTCCGTCGGGCAAAAAGGAATTCACTACCGGGCATCCGAGATGACCTCTCAGCACGTCCAGTAGAGATTGGCCTACTACCCAACCACGCCCAACGATGTTCACGCCTCTAGTCTGGTCCGTACCAGTGCTTGAGCGGACTGAATTGAAGAGGAAAGAGTCCCAGATTGAGCTTCGATCAAGGGTTCCCCGTCGAAGGGCTAGGAGCTTGCGTTGGTAGACTGTACCGCCAAAGGGCGAGCGCTTTGACTTCGAGGTGAGAGCCAGGCCGAGGGAGGAGGCTCCATTGGGTGAAGCGTAGATAAGTGTTGGCTTGAAGTTGACCAGAGCGGCACTCGTTGCAGGATTGGGGTCGTCAATCGAAGAAGTCAAGGGCGCAGCTTGGAGGGACGATCCCGTGTAGAGGGCGGTGAGGGCCAATGCCAGTCCCGCGGGCGTAGCAGCTGCCCCCAGATGCAGCGAAGGGCTTTTGACAAAGGGGGACTGTTCCACCCAGATCCTATCTGCCGTCGTGGGAATTTTGTCTGCGGGATAGAAGGAGAGGTAGGCCGTCACACCTGCACAAAGGGACTGGTTGCTGACCTGCGTCCAAGCAGAGCCAAGCCAGAAAGAAGACTGAATAGAGCCGCCCCTCGAGGAGGATTCAGCGCCTGCCTCAGCGGGGGAGGAGGTGTCCGAACCCTGGTCCAGTACTTCGTGGAAGGACACCATGCGTGGGAGCTTGCCTCCGTTAGTCTGCAGAGCCTTCTCGGCTTCAGCGACCTCTTGCTGATCCCTGAGAATGTACAAAGTCTCCGAAGTAGCAATGGACATAGCAGCCGCCTTGCGAATCGCCTTGGACGTAGTGTAGACTGCAGCCAACTTGTCAGTCTTTCCGCTCACTGGGAACTGTTCTGGTTGGCCTTGTGGCAGATGAAGCGGTGGGATGACCAGGGTAGAGAAGGGCGTACGGCCAGAAGATGAGTCCCGAAGCAGTTCACCGGCTAGGAGCGCCTGCAGGGCCTCAATGTGGTCCACCTCTACACTGATCGCGAGGGCAGCTTGATCACCAGCGCCGCCCCCAACAATCTTTTGAAGACCTGTTCCGAACTTTTTCGAGGCATTGAGAATGTCCTCGTTGGTCAGATCCTTGCCGTAGACCTTCCTCTTGTGCTTCGCCTCTCCGCCCTTTGAGCCGAGGGTGAGCAGCGTCGTCACGTCATTGGCGCCCTTGCGTGGACGAGCGGCAAGATCGAAGCCATGCGGGGAATTTGCGTTGCGGTAGACGGCCGACTCGCCTTCCTGGTGAACTTTCGTTGCGTCAGCTTGACGGCCAAGGATGAGCGGATGTAGGGTAGGCTGGTGCCATCGTGTGAGCAGTGCAGAGACCAGGAGGAGGGCGATGATCCCAATCAAGAGGAGCAGGGATGTGTCATCGATGGCGATGTCCCGTTGCGAGAACATGGAAGCCATTCTGTGAGATCGCACCAGATGGAGGAAAGAGGCGGCGAAAGAAGAGATGAGGTGGTATGAGGAAGGTGCACAAGAAAGGACGAAGTAGTGAGGTCGGCGAATGGGACAATTCAGCCTTGCGCTCAGATCAGCGGAGAAAAGGAAGTGGAGAAGAACCGGGGATGTCGCCCGGCGCCTTTCACGGGCACCAGAGGCTTACGAGATGATGGTCAGCACGATAAGACGATTACCATTGTCATCGTCGGGAAAGGAAGGTGTACCTGGGCCCCTTCAGACAAGCGTGCGAGAATCACTTCATGCTTAGACGTGCGGAGCGTTCGAGGTAAAATACGCGTTCGACAGAATTCTCGGTTACACTGCTGCGAGACGATTCCTATCCTTTCCCCTCTCGCTTCGCTCACTTCCTCTATTCCTCGCTGCCTGTATATTACACTCTCCCCGCCAACATCACACCATGACTCCACCCTGCTCTTCAAACAGTACGGCAATACTCTCTCCGTGATGTGCCCGCCTGATGCTCTCTGCCATCACAGCTGACACGTCCATGATCTCCAGCCTGCCGTTCGCGTCTTGCGCCTTCTCCTCGTTCGGAATCGTGTTGGTCACCTGAAAGGACGCAGAAGAGAAGAGCGTCAGCAGAAAGCTCTCGCAAGTCTCAGGCGATCTGCGAAAGGGCAATACTTACGACTAGTCTCTTCATTTCCAGTTTCCTCAGAAGCTCCACAGCCTTTCCACTGAGGATGCCATGACTGATGTGGGCGTACACCTCCTTGGCGCCAGCATCCCTCAATGTCTTGGCAGCCAGAGCTAGCGTCCTGCCAGTGTCAACCATGTCGTCTACCAAGATGGCCACCTTGCCCTCAACGTCTCCGACGAGGATCTCCATCTTGGCTTCGCCTTCTTGCAGGGCAGACTCGGCCGCTTCAGCAGCTGCAAATGAAGCTGGCGAAAGCTGGCCCTGGCCAGCAACACCATTGGAAGGTCCCTGAGATTGAGTGTGAGCGTGGGCGTGACCATGACCGGCATGAGCGCCGCCGCTGAAGACCCGGTGGCCGTCCTCATCGGTGATGAAGAATTCTCCCGACTCATTGGCCTGCACGCCGTTTCCGATAAGCGAGTACAGGGGAGACCTTGGCGAAGGGCCTCCACCCTCCATCCTGAGATTTGAGAGCCGGTCGTTGACGGAGCGGAGACTACCGCCTTGTTGAGAGTGGCTGCCCTCCGGATGCGAAGCGTCGTGAGGCGGAGCACTGGGAGTTGCGAATCCACTGCGAAGATCATCCGTGCTCGACATGGCCGAGGGCAAGGTACCACCAGCTTGCAGAGCCGCCTGAGTCCTGGCTTCCCGGATGCGCTTGTTCTGGGCTCGCTTGCGATTGCGATTGATCAGAGCGAAGTCGACGCCAAGAAGATCCGCCAAAGCTGTTGCTCTGAAGAGGAGGATAAGATGGAGACCCGCAAGTATGAGACATCGGCCCTGCAAAAACACCGTCCGTATGTCTCTGCATCACCTCGATCAACTCACCTCTTTGCTCCACCAGCATCTGGACTGACAATGATACAATTTCGCCAGTCTTCTACCCTAGTTCGAATCCATCTAGCGACACTAGGTTCCGAGCTAAGGTTGTCCACCGGAATGTCAAAGAATCCCTGAATTTGACTAGCATGCAGGTCCATTGTGATGACATGGTCCGCTCCAGCGACTGTGATCATGTTAGCTACGAGCTTGGCAGTGATGGGAGCCCTAGACTTGTCCTTCTTGTCGTGCCGAGAGTAAGGGAAGGAAGGAATCACGGCGGTGATTCTCCGGGCAGAGGCAGTCTTGCAGGCGGAAATGATGATGCAGAGCTCCATCAAGGCATCGTTCGGATCTGTATAGGCAGAGTAGCCCGTTTGGAGCACAAAGACATCTTCGTCTCGCACAGAGGAGCCGATACGCACATCGATGCATTGGTCGGCGAACTTCTTGACGATGCAAGGTGTGAGCTCGATACCGAGCCTTTGGGCAACCAATTGAGCCAGCTGAGGGTGACTGTTGCCCGTCAGGAGCTTAATGGAATTGACTCCGGGCATCTTGTAGTGTTCTCAGTTGGGTGAGGGCCTAGCTTTTCGTGATACGGCTGGGTTGAAAGTCTGCGCTATGGCCTTCGCAGCTGTAGCAACGATAGCAGCTTCTGTAAAAGTGCCTCGACCAACAGACGGCGAGCTGAAATGCAGCAATGGATGGAGATGAGAGTGACAAAGTAGGCGAGGATGCAGGTAAGATAGGACCAAGAATGAGCAAGACGGAGGCAAAGGTGTGACAGAAGGAGGGACCCAAGGAATGATTCACCAACGACGGAGGCAGCTCTTGGTGCAGCAGCCGAGGCAGCAGGAAGCCCACGCGGACCGAAGAAAGTCGGCTCGGAAGACATTTTTGCCGCCATTGCACGGACGGAGCGGAGCGGAGCGGGGCGAGGAATGCCGCGGGAAGGCGGGGAAGGAAGGGCTGAGCAGATAGTACAGAGGCAAGCCGGGTATACTAATAAGCATAAAGGGGTTGCGGCGACGATGACATCTACTACGCTGGCAGACAGGCACAGCAGAGCATTCACAGATGAAAGCGGGAATACAGTTTGCATTTGCATACAAAGTCTCGTAGACGGCCAGCAAGGTTGCAGAGATAAAGTAGAATATACACAAAGGCAAGGAGATTATCGACCTCTGTCTCGCTCAGAGGCTCCTCAGAGCAGGCGCAGCTTGTGATGTAGGAGCAGCAACCCCTTCATCATCTTCATCTTCATCTTCATCCTCCGGACCAGGGTCAGTCCTCCGACCGGCCAGACGAGACACCTCAGCTTCGTCCTCTTCCTCTTCCCCAACCATCTCCTCCTCGCCTGCCACCTCTGCAATACGCGTGTGGCCATCAGCAGCTGTAGGGTCGTTCTCCTCCTCCTCCTCGTCTTCTGTCAGACCCGATCCAGGACGACTGGACTTGCTGGCTTTGCTGTTTCTCCTCATGCTTCTCCGTATGGACCCGGGCAACAATCTGCGGAGGGTGCTGTGTCGCTTCTTGGCATCCGTCGGCATCCTACGATTCCGCCCGCCAGACAAATCTTCTTGCGAGAAGCTGTACCCTCTTGACGGACCTTCTGTGCCAGTGAGCATGTCGTACTGCCTCGACGAAGCTCGGCTTCTCGTGGGATGTAGCTCGTGCATCGCGAAGATTGAAGTGGGAGGAGCCTCCAGACCCTCCCCGCCATGACCTGCATTGCTGTCACCATGACCAGCAGCGCGAGCTGCCTCGGCAGCCAGCTTGGCCTCTTGTTGCTTGCCGGGCATGCGAGGATCGTTGACGTAGTCGTGGTTTGGGTTTCTCTTGTCCAGGCGTCGGAAGATGTCCAGATCCGATGGGTAGTACGTCTCGCGCCAGCACCTGTACAGATAGCTGGGTAAGAGACAGAGGACGGTACAGAAGACGATACCAGTGTAGAAGTAAAAGGCGTTGTAGAGATAGTAGTTGTTTCCCCAGCCGAGAGGAGTGGTAGTGCTCGGCTTGATGGAGTCGTAGATTGGCACAAAGCACGAGAGGGCAATGGGTCCGAATGCCAGACTCAAAAATACCCACCAGGAGAAGGCGTGCACAAAGAGTCCCAAGAAGATGTTGGCGGCGAAAGTGATAGCCAAGACCATGCCCGTGGAGAACTCATAGATACCAGGATTAAACCCATCGCCTCTTGCGGATGTGGTATCGTAAGTATAGAGGAAAAAGAACAGGACAATGACACCCTGAATAATGCCTTCCAGCATGTTCCATGTGAAGACAATGAAGCCGAAGTACTTGCCTTCACGAGATGCCTTGTAAAGTTCTGGGACTTCCATGAGGATGCGATCTGGCAGCGGGCGGTCGAAGATGCCCTGGCCGATGCACCCTGCAATGGTCCAGACGACGTTGTAGAGTAGAATGTAGACATAGTCGAGGACGTAGATGGTACTCCAAGCAGCATAGATCTGGAAGAAGAACAGACTTGACACGATAATCATCTGCTTGTAGAAGAAGTAGTTGATCATTACACCGCTCCTATAGTACGAGAAGTGCCCGTGCACGAGCAGAAGCCTCTTGAGGAACCTGAATTGCGCAATAGCATAGTCGGAAGCATTGACGGCCTGCAGACCCTCTTCACCAGCAATACCGATACCGACGTGAGCTGCCTGAATCATCGACACGTCGTTGGCACCATCTCCGATGGCCAGGGTCATGACGCCCAGACCGTCCTTGATCAATTTGACGATGAGGGCCTTCTGAAGCGGTGAGACTCGGCAGCAGATAACAGCACGGCACTGGCGTGAGAGATTGAGTAGTAGATCCTTCGAGAAGTCTTCCGTGAGGGCATGGCTCAGAGCAGTCCCATCGATGACCAGGGCGTATCCTCCCGATCTCGATCCATTGTCTTCACCCACGAGCGAGGCGTTTCCAATCGAGGTGCGGCTGGCGCTATGCTGCGAGTTTCTTCGAGACAGACTGAACCTGCTTGAATTCTCATGATGCGTACCCGGAGGCTGGTGTTCCATTTGGCCCACTACGTCAGAGCCGCCGAAGAATCGTTCTGTAGCCTTCTTCAACTGCTGATACGCAGAGTTGGGCTCGCCATACTCTCCACCTCGAATGACAATCAAGTTCATATCCTGGACGAGCAAGCGGGTACTGTAGCCAATGGCAATTGCAGTCTCGAGCTTGTCGCCTGTAGCTACCCAGACTTTGATACCAGCACGCTTGAGATCCGCGATAGCCTCAGGTACACCGTCCTGGAGCTTGTCTTCGATGGCAGTGGCGCCGTACAGCGTGAAGTCCAGCTCGAGCTCGCTGGCGAGAGCCTCCATCTTCTCCTCTCGTTGGTCGAGGGAGACGGACGCGTTGTGGTAGCGGAAAGCCCATTCATTGTACACGTCTTCGGTCAATTCCTTACCTGCCAAGCACAGGGTACGGAGTCCTTTGTTGGCAAACTCTTCGAGGTGCTCGTCGATGTTGGTCTTGATATCCTCTTGGCCAGCGGCGGACCTCTCGAAGATGATACTGTCGGCTCCCTTGGCCAAGACCAGGATCTTGGAGTCGGAGTGACGCCTGAGGATCACACTCATTCGCTTCCTGGCGGATGTGAATTCCAGAACGCTGAGCAGCTCGTACTTCTCGGGCTCAGCAACCCCAGGTACCTGGATGGACAGCGTCGAGCGGTCTCTACGAAGGAAGATGAATCCGACCTCAGCAGCAGCTTGCACTAAGGCCTGCTCGTCCGGACTCTGCGCCTTGAACTCGATCAAGCCATCTTCATTCTCAGAAGCAAGAGCGGTGTGACATAGAGCCAGGCATCTCCAGAATTGGAACAGCTGCACGGCGTGTGGGGTGTCGGGTGTCTTGAGTGCCGCAGAGAGTCGAGAATCGGTGAAAGCGGGTTGCTCAGATCGCTTGACTCGCTTCCGTGAATCTTTGTCTGACGCAGAGCCGTTTTCATCACTAGGTGTCGGAGTGGACAAAGCCTTCTCTTTTTCGGTCATGCTGCCGTCCATGGAGATGTTTGGGCCGTTTCGATGTTCATCGCCATGGTAGACGACTCCGCCGATTGAGCACTCTTGGAACAACATCAGGTTCTGGGTCAATGTACCAGTCTTGTCAGAAAAGATGTATTCGATTTGACCCAAGTCGTCGGACAGATTCCAGGAGCGAGCAGTCGTACGCCTATTTGTCTTTTCGTACCAGATATCGTAGTCGTCGTAAATGAAGAAGGCTTGCACTGTCCTCACAGCCTCGATAGATATGTAGAGGGAGATGGGTACGATGTTCTGGAAAGTGATGAGAGCATTGCCGAACGCGACGAGTCCATTGATTCGGGGATTGTCATCGCTATAGATGGCTCCGGTCTCCCAGTAGGCATTTTGGGCAAAGTAATGCTTTTCCAATTGCGAATCTGCAATGGCGCAGGCAATGGCCACGAGAGCAAGCACTGTGAGATTGACGTAGACCATCGGATTCATCTGCTTTTCAACCTTGGATCGCTTGCTGGGAGTATCGCCGGAGTTTGCGATGATCTTGCTGTCAGCTCCAGTCATGAAGACGAAACCGATGACCCAAGCGGTATTTCTGAGGATGCATCCCCGTAGCAGAACTTGATTCAGAGTGACAGGGCAGCGGAGAGGGTTGCCCTCCTGATCGACCTTATTTTGCAGCGTGACGCTTGCGTTGAGACGGTACATATTGGTATCCTGAGGTTCACCATCTGCCCTGAATGCAGCGTCTGCGCAATCGCTCGCGGATCGAATCTGTAGGGCGAGCTCAGGGACACCCGTACGAGCCTTCAAATTCGTCTCACCGTCCAAGTTCTTGGTCTCTACGAAGCAAGCGTCTTCTTCCTCCGAGGTGCTGCAGATGATGACGTCTGCGGGGATCGGCTCGTTGTTCTTGATCAGGACGAAGTCACCAACGGCCAAGTCCTCCCACATCTTCTTCTTCCATCGCGGGGCAACCTTAGACTTGTACTTGGCTTCTTCATCCGGCGAAAGGAGACGCCCGTGATGGAGAATTCTGCCTTCTTCATTTACCTCATATCCGTCCGCCTCGAACATGCTAGCACCGCTGGTAGATGCCCGGGATCTTCCACCGAGACTGGGCCTTCCAGCTGAGGTCGAAGCGTGCGATCTGTTCGATACAACGCGTGCGAGGTCGCCATCCAGTGGGCGCGCATCAGGTGCTGTGCCAGAGCCAGGAGCAACAGCAGTCCCCTGCTGAGGATTAGAAATAGTCTGTTGCAGAGGAGAACTTTCGTGCTGACGCTCGGCAAGCTTGGCGCTTTGTTTCTTCTTTCCACCAAATACCCTGTCTTTCCAGGCGGTGAACGCAGCGCCAACGCTGCTGGATTTGACCTCCATGACGTTGGGGTTCACCCAGCCCGAGGCAGTCATGACCCTGACCTTTTGCCTGTTTAGGGCTCGATCCGACTGATGGCGCTTGATGTCTTCGTACCCGTCCTTCAGCGCAGAAAGAGCCAGAACAGCCAAGAGGGGCAACATGGCTACAACAGGGTTGATGGTGGAGAACTCAGGAAAGAATTGGAGGATGACGAGTAGCAAGAAGAACATGTTAGCTACTCTGCGGAACTGCTCCAAGAGATTCTTGAAGATGAAATTGTAGACCGTATACTTGGCCGTGAGCACTTGATTTGTCGCATAGGTGACCCTGGGCAGAGGTTTGCCCTTCTTATCGAAGTAGTCGGCGGGAAGAGGCTCATTGAAGTACTGTGAGCCATGGTAGAGGGTTTGCAACGAAGAGAGAATGATCAGCATCTCTGGCGACAGTCCAAACTAAAATTCCAACTGTGATCGTGTAACTTACGACTGATCTGGGACATGGTGGAGGTCTCCGCTTAGCAAAGAGCTTTTCAGGGTCCAATCCTGATTCTTTGATGCGGATCAGGGTCTGTACGAACGCTGACCTCTCCTTTGTTTCCTGAGGGCCAGAAGTGGCCGGCCTGGCCTTTTTGCGCCTGGTAAAAGGATTCGCCATGATGGTTCAGTCTCGCTTTGGAGAGGATCTGTGGCGCAGGCAGTACAACAAAGCGAAGGCAGACCAAGACCGGGCCGGGTCCAATGCAACGCCTGCTGTCTAGTGACCGAGCGGCAGGGTTGGTATAGGTCTACCAAGCGTATGGATGAGACGAAGAAGCGATGGGTGTGGACCTAATAATATGAAGATGGCACAGGGTGAGGGCGGCCAGAGGGGGAGGGGAGGGCGCGTGGGTACGGGATCCACAACAGGGTGCCACCACTGCGCGGCCCGCTCGATCCGGGCTCAGGCACGAGGACAGCTCCGCGGAAAGGGGGCTGAGTGAAAGAGAGGCGCTCAGTTCCGACGGAAGTGCAATCTGCAACGACATCCATTCAGTCAAATTAGGGAACATACAGCCGCCAAGGCTGCACCCCGCCAGTCTCCCTCGCCCTTGGTCAGCCCCCATGTCAAGATCCCCACTGCAGCCACCATCAAGGCACATACATTGACAATTTCCTCATGACCCCGCGCCCTGTCTGCTTCGGAACAACGCATCCTTCTGACCCGAACTACGGCCCCTGCTTGGCTCGGCTGTTGACCAGCGCTTCTCCGCACTCTTGCCTCCGGGCGCTCAGATGCCGGGATCCGTCCTGACCACCACGTACTTGGCAAGACCCAGGAGGGATTGTCGGACAGCGCAACCGCCACAGCATTCTGGCTCGTTCAAGCACAGACCCTCAGCCCAGCAGTCGATTCTTCCACCCTCTTCTCTTCTTGTCCGTGACATCCACTACCTGTCCGAAATCTGCAGCGGCATTTCCCGAGTCATCGGTGGATCGCACGGGGTTGCTGCTGTCACCTCGGTCCGAACTCGACACATTGCGCTCCCTGACCGAGGGTCGAGCGGGAATTGGGGGCACCGGCGGCGCAGCCGCGGCAGCAGTAGTAGAAGCATTCTGGTCGGCAAGGCTGGCCTGGATAGGATGATTCTGCTGCTGAAGACTACCTTGAGCTGCCTCATGGTCCGATAGTGAAGACGCTCTCGTCCGATCTTCCCTGCCGCTGATCTTGCCACGTTTGTCAGTCTCGCGGGGCGCGTTTTGCGATTCCAGACCGTCGGCGTTAAGCGATGCGGGGTCAAGCCGGTCATCAGGCTTTTCGCGTGAGGTTGAGCGAGTATCAGAGGACATTGACTCCGTTCGCGCCGATGCCATCTGCTCCCTACCGAGAGCAACAGTCTGCGTCGGCGTAGCTTTGGCATCGTCGTGTTCTATAACTAGATTTCGGTCGTCTACCACGTGGCCGCCGGAGATGAGAAGGGTACTCGCAATCCTTAAGTCCGGCAAAGCAGTGAATGTCGTCGTCACAGTTGAACTGGATGGTCCGAGTGACACAGAAGTCACATCGACTGTAGTCACCTTCTCTCCTTTGGTCCTTGCCGCCCCTGCAGGGTCATAGAGGCCTTTGCTGTCGACCTGTCCCATTGGCCTACCACAAGCAAGGCATGAGGCTTCTGCGTCTTTCGCCGGGACCGCATAGACATTGGACGCTTCCCTTGTCACACCCCTTCCCGGCTCACCCTTACCAGCGCCAGCGGCGATCTGCTCCTTGATTGCAGTGCGCTCCTCTTTGAGTTCCCTCTTGAGGTCCTTGCGTTCCTTCTTCTCCTGCTTCTTCGCTTCGGCTTGCAGCCGCTTGTCCTCCATCTTTTGCTTCATTTCGGTAAGGGTCGTGTTGGCCGCCGTGATGCCTCGAGTCATACCACCGTGAGCTTCCTTGAGGCCTACAAAGGCAGAAGTCGAAGCGACTTGCTGCTTTTTGGGATCTGTGACGGCCTCGGCGATGCTCTTTTGTGATTGCGAGACGAGCTCGACGATGACGTCGATCTAGGGAGGCCGAAAGCAAATGGGCATCAGACCGTGCCACGTCAGGATGGTGAGCACCCACGGAAGACGGATGCACTCACCGATGCTCCGCTGAGAAATGGGCCAGCGACCGTATTGAGGGCAGCCTCGACAATGTTGGGTAACACATCAGTCTCGACCATAGTCTTCCTCACCCAAGCATTGCGCTTTCCCAGCTTCACTTCCTCGGGATCGCCCTCGCTCACTTCCATCCCGCCATTGCGCTCTCCTGATGGTGGCGACTCCTTAAGCACAGCTCTGCTCAACCTGCCCTCTACATCGCGGTACGTGACTGCATCGAGAGCGTGTGTTTGATGCAGCTGAGCCAACGAGGCACGGACCTGGTCGAGCAGGAACTCCGCATGAGACGGCGCTTCTGCAGGCTTTTTGGGCCGTGCTGCGGTGGGAAGAGGAGGAGGCACGGGAGCTCGGCTCATGAGACTCAAAGAGGTAATACAGGCAGAATCGGCGACACGGTGGTGAGGTGTCAGGCCGGGCTGACGCTCAGCTTACGTCCGAAGACATGGAGGGGTAGGAGCGAGGTCTGTGTGACCACTCCACTCAGACGCCCTTTCCGCTTTCCCCAACGCGCACGGGCTTCGACAGACCGGGCACGGAACCACCACTCACAAGGGCGAGGATTCTCTCCCTCCGATGCTCCTCATGTACCAGGTATCGTTCACCCGACCAGGCAGACATGTCTGCGTCCTCGCGCTTCTTGCCAGTTGTCGGACAGCGACACCGACAACCCTTCTCTTTCTCAAGTCGGGAGGGAAGCAATCTGTCTTCCTCAGCGTGCAGGAGCGAGAAACAGCGATCACCATCACCACCAGCACGGGCTATACCCGAAGAGAGGAGTTCCGAGCACGAGTTTTGGAATGATGGTGGGGATCAATCGAACAGCAACAGCGTTTCAAGAAATTTTGCTCGTCCATCAGATCCCGGTGAAGAGCGCTGCGAGCAATTGACCCCCTTCCAGTGCATATACTCACCTACGCCCTCGCTGTCTCGCGGCAGTAGTCCCTCGTGCAACAGGAGCGCGGACCCAGGGCGTTCCTCTGGACCAAAAAAGTTCGTACGAGTTACTAGCTTCAGATCTTGTCGGGGAGAGACTCAAAAGCAGTACAGAGACCTCCTTAAGTCCATCTCTTGATCGAGCTTGGCATGGAGGTGATGCGTGCTCATCGCTGACGATTTCGTTTGTCTGATCCTCTCGAAGTAGCAGCTTCCACTGAACCATCCGGGCGTGATCTACAATTGATACAAGCTGGCCCTCAGCTCGTCCCTCTCACCGTCCTACCGGATCGCTATCGATGTGCTTTCCGCTTTCCGCTGTTCAACAAGGTTCAATCGTGAGCCGTCGCCTTCATCATTGCTGTTCCAGGTGTTGGCGTTCATACTGACACTTTGTTTGTGACGATGCGATGATACCAGCATCTGTTTCGAAAATGTAGGTCCATAAGCAGTCGTGATGCGGGGGAGTGGCGCTCACAGAGAAGCCAACCCCTTCCTGGGATTATACAGCTATTCAATGGCGATGATAATGTAGTGGTGTCTGCGCCGGTAAGCTCTTGTGCTTCGTACTCAAGATCCTGTACATCCGACATGGACTGACCCTCATGTCTCGGCCTCCAGACTGGATCAGGCAAGGTGATCACCGTGACACAGACCAAGTACGCTTTGTTGAAATACATTCTGACATCTCTGCCGGCGCATACTCATGTTTAGACGACCTTGTTTGAGCTTGCTCTCATCAGGATGCTAGTGCAAAGCAGCGACGACAAGGTAGCAATGCTGTTCCTGGGCGTTGATATACCCTTCCCACGACTTGACTCACGCAGTCTCGACCTCTTCCTCATACAGGCAGTGTACATGGCACCGACGAAAGCTCTCTGCTCAGAACGTGCCCAAGACTGGCAGTCACGCTTCGAGCCCGTAGGTTGCCCCATAGTGGAGCTGACGGTCAGTAACAGGCGCTCTACTTCTTTCCTGGGCGTAGGCTGAGACTCCACCACGTATGCCTGGCCCCAGGGCGACAGCCGCTTTTCAGGACTGGATGCAGCCTACAGAGCGAGGATCATCGTGACGACTCCAGTGAGTCAGCGCATGGTGCGTTCCAGAAGGTTCGGGTTCTACAGAGGCTCACCGGTGCCTCCAATCTACAAACTCGTCTGTGCAGGAGAAGTGGGACAGGTGAGAAGCAAGAAGATCTTCACGCGATCGGACAGTATCCTACTCCATTGCGCCGCTCTCACACAGCCATGCTATTGTCAGTCTGACACGCAATTGGGCAGCTCACAGAAAGTTACTCGATAAGTTTCGCTTGTTCCTGATCGATGAGATCCACACCCTGCAAGAGAAGACTAGAGGTGAGAGAAGACAGGCGGTGCTGAACTGTATGACAATGCTGAAGAGGTCGCGACAATTGCAGGTGCTTGCCTGGAGATCGTTGTCGCACGCATGTGCACGTTCGGCAACAACGTACGGATAGTAGCCGTGTCGGCCACCATACCTAATTCGGCAGACATTGCGGAGTGGATTGGCAGACGATCGTCCCGGGAGTCCAGCAGCGAAAGAGCTCATCGCTACTCGTCCGGACATGCCGCACCCCTGGAGGCTGCCAAATCGTTCTGTTTCGGAGAAGAGTACAGGCCTGTAGCACTTCAGCGGACTGTTCTGGGATTCAAGTCTTCCGGTGATGAATGGACATTCCAGAGCATTCTCAACCAAAAGCTCTTCGAAGTTGTTCGGGTGCATTCAATGGGCAAGCCTACTCTCGTCTTCGTGCCTACCCGCAAAGCCACGATGCAGGCTGCTGAAAAAGTCAAGGAGGGCTATCTCAAGCACTCCGAAACCAGTCACACACCTTGGCGCAAGCCGTCTGAGATGCCAAGCTATTCCGATGCCCGCCTTGGGGAGCTGGCCGCTCTCGGCATTGCCTACCATCACGCCGGTCTCACATTGCAGGATCGTAAGACGGTTGAAGCACAGTTCTTGAAAGGCAACATCACCGCGCTATGTTGTACTTCGACGCTAGCAGTGGGCGTAAATCTCCCGGCGTTCTGCGTAGTGAGTCAACGGCCACTGTGTGCTCCATTGCGGGGTTCCTACTTTTGACATGCTTCTCTATCGACTGTCACCCTCAGATAGTTCGAGGAACAAAACGCTACCATGGCTCATGGGTAAGCAGGCGCTGCGCACTCAGCGAGTACTGTCATTCCTGCTCACCATGCTGAAGTGAGTGTGCTGCAGACGGAGCTTCCCGAGCTTGACTTGATCCAGATGATGGGACGCGCTGGGCGTCCTCAATACGACAAGGAAGGTAAGCTTTCGAAGCAGTGCCCCAATTGTGTATCGCACGATGAATGCTCACGCAGATCTTCGTCAACATCAAAGGCATTGCCGTCATACTGACCGAAGAGTCAAAAGTAGACTATTACAAGAACTTGGTTTCAGGACAGACCAAGATCGAGAGCACTCTTCACGAAGAGCTTGTCGAGCACGTCAACTCCGAGATTGGATTACGTGTCGACTGCACCGTCGCCGACATTGAGAGGTGGCTTCAAAGAACCTTTCTATATGTCAGGATGCAAAAGAATCCTTCATACTACTGTCAACAAGGAGAAGATGGCGGGAAGAGCCCACTGCAAGTCCTTCAAGGCGTCTGCGCTGCAGCTTTGTCTGAACTTGCCACTCATGAGCTTGTCACAACCAGCGACAGAGGCGCACTCAGCTCCACTGACTTTGGCGAGATCCTGTCGAAGTATTACATCTCATTCGACACTATGCTTGAGCTGCTCCAACTCCATCAAGCAAGCATGAAGGACCTTCTCGCCTTTGTCTCACGAGCCAAGGAGTTCGCTGACATCCGGATCCGCCAAGGGGAGAGGGCTGCGTATGTCGCCTTGAAGTCAAATAGCGAAATACGATTTCCCCCTGACAAGATCGGCGGAGTTGCAGACAAAGTCAATTTGATCATTCAGGGGATCCTGTCGGCGCTACCGTTGCAGCGATTGCTCAAGACCGAGACCGCGCCAGTCAATCCTGTTGGTGACATTCTCATTATATTCAGGTGTGCCATTATGTAGACAGGTCGGAGATCGATCAAGGCTGGAAGCTGAAGTCCCAAACGACTTCTCAGACATTGCCCACAGATAGTCAAGGCAGCCCTAGATGCGGCTTTGTCTAAGAAGGACGTCACCACGCTGAACAGCGCCTTGGATCTGTGAGGAAGGACGAGCTCCTGCTACCGGGGTACGGTGTAGCTGACAGTTGCTGTGCTTTTTGTACGTTCGACGCAGTCTCCGGTCGATCAATGGCAGGGCATGGGACAACTCCTCAGCCACGCTGAGGCAGATCGAAGGCATCGGCGAGAAGAGCATCAAGATCTTTGCCACCTCGGGTATCCTGTCCTACAAAGATCTCGGTGCTTGCGAGCCATATCGCATAGAACATCTGCTCAATCGTAAACCACCATTCGGACACAAAGTCATCTCGATCGCCGCTGCACTGCCACATCTGTCCCTGGACGTCAAGGAGGTCGTCAAGCCGTCGCGGAAGAGGAAGCACGACGACGGAGACAGTGGACAAAGTGTGGTCGTCACCGTGCAGGTGACGATCGAGCTCCTCAAAGCCAAGAACGTTGTCCCTAAAACGAAGAGTCGAGAGGGCATGCCGTTCTTCTGCACAGTGTTCGCGCATACATCTGACAACCAGGTGATGCTTGACTACCGAAGGACTCCCCTGAGAACTCTCAGCGAATCGAAGTCTTTCCAGATCCAATGCTGCTTGACAAGCGCAGATCAAAGTATTGTGATCAAGGCTGCATGCGATGAGGTAGCTGGGTCAGCCGTTCGTAAAGAGCTCAAGCCTGATGTAGATCCTGCCTGGTTCCCACCGCCCGAGCCTCGAAGCACCGAGAGCCGCGAGCTACCTGCAGAGCTTCAAGGACTTGAGGATTGCCACGATCTCTTCAAAGACGATTGGCATTCCGATGGGCAATCGCAAAACAGCGCTGCTGGGAGTCAGCCATTGACTGCGCCTGTTGACCCACTCTTGCAGTCTGAGAAACTCCACAAGAAGGTCAAGCCTATGCGACAGACCAAGCTGCAAAGTGCAATTCCTATCGAGATAGCAGAACAAGAGCCTCCTAGGCTGTCCAATGGCAACTACCAATGTAGGCATCGCTGCAAGGCTTCCTGCCGACATCTCTGTTGCCGTGAAGGCCTGCCCAACCCACCAGCGACTGACAAAAGTGGAAAACGAAAAGGCGCCAAAGACCGAGTAAAGGCAGATGAGGAGAATCGATGTGAGTGCATACAGCGTTCCATGCCGTTCCGTGTTCTTGGTCTCATGATGCGCCCTCTTCTCTCAGCGGTTTTGGATCGCCTCGAGCAACTGGCTGGCGTGACAAGTTCGGAGAGTGACCCTCTCCGCGATCCTGCTCGTTCAAAGAAGGGACTCGTCCTTCCCCGCAAGACTTTTCCGACAGGGTTGGATCGTGACGAAGGAAACGGGTCCACTCCATCCGGAGCGACTGACGGTCCCTCTAGAGTCAACCCAAGCGCGAAATTCTCCCTCGAAACCTCTCTAGTCAAGCCTCATGGTCGAGCTGAGTCTACATCTGGAACGGGTAGCACGTCGAAGCGAGCGGCTCTATGGGGTGACTTGCCCATCATGCCTGGTGTACCAAGTGACGACGGCAGCGACATCATGGACGAGGTGACAAAGCCATCACCTTCACCACCCGCAGTGGCTCGTCTCATTGCTAGCCTGGGACGAGGTGCTGAGCAGACTGAAGATGGCAGCGAAGAAGAATCTCCGCAAAAGCAATCTTCGAAGCATCTAAAGTCTGTTCGCAGACAGACCAGAGAGTCCGAATGCGAGAATGCGTGCCCGTCCGTGGACGCCTTCATGAGCGTCGCAGATCTGGAGAGTCAAGAGTCGGAGGACGAGCTGGAAGTTGGATTTCCTCTGGAGATGATTGCGGAAGCAACAGAGCCTATCAGCGCCGAGCGCGCTCTTGGAGCCAGAAGAGATGAGGAAGCAAGCCAAGGAGGACAGTCGAGACTGAAGAAATGCCCTACCGTCGTGGCCGAACGAGCTCAAGGAGAGTCTGTCCACCAGCATGCTTCGGCACCTCAAGGTGCCCGCAGGCAGCAGCCCCTCTTCTTGCGTACATCGCCTCTACGAACCAGCAGCCCCAGCGCAGACCCCGCCTTCAAAAATCGGGACATCGATGCTCATCTACAGTCCATCCAAGAGCCAGATTTCGCGGAGGAAGACCCTGAGGTCGAGGATCACGAAAGCCTTCTGGAGGATGAAGAACACCTGGAAGCCTGGCTTCTTGCGCATACTCGAGATGAAGAGTGAAGGAGGAGAGCGAGTAGCCAAAAGGTACCGCAGACACCCGAAGCGGGCGCTCTGATGGTGTGACTGGTTCCCATTAATGTTCACCTACTTCACTTCTTCGTGCTCGCACTTGCTCCTCGATTGGCAAAATTCTTGCTGAGGATCTCCCTCGCCTTGCGTTTCCTCTCCTCGGCGGCGTTCATCCTCTGCTGTCCTTCGGTGGGTGGTGGAGGCGCTTGACAGTCATGCGCTCGAGGTGCGACATGTCTGCGATAGAGTGAGGGTTGAGGAGAGTAAGATTGATGGTCCGTTGAGAGTGCTCTTAGGTAGTACCTTCTCATCTCTACTCACCCCATGCAATACAATCCCTTGCAGTTCACGCAAGTGGGAGCAGCGTGCTCGAAGGCCCTCCCTGGCGTCTGCAGATCAGTACCATCCTTGACTACTACCCTCGCCTGAGCTCCCTCTTGTCCAATCCGGGCATTATTACCACTGCTCTCCTTTCCAACTTCGAGGCTGAAATTTTTACACCCCCTCTTCTGACAGGGCAATCTTGCTCCACCACCTCCATTCGCAGCTCCATTTCCAGAACCAGCTGCAGTACCAGAAGGATTAGCTCGCAATACCCTCTTGAGCACCTCGTTACTGCTCAAGACATTATCCGCACTACCGGGAGCAGTACATGCGTGCTGGCGTGGAAGGAAGTGAGACTCGCAAAAGGAATGGTGGCAGTATGGGCATGAGAGGGGGAGAAAGGAGAGGTGCAGACAGGTGGAGAGGTGGCAGTTGGTCCCGAACTCCATGGAAGTCCACACGATGGAAATGCACACACACTGGGAGCAGGGCGAGGGCCAGAAAGGGTTCTGTATGAGGGTGTTACTTTGGAATGAAAGGCGGTATTGGAGTGGAGGTCAGATCGCGAGGCGGCTCAGGCTGAAGCGCGTCTGGCTCCGCTCCGGTGTTCCTGCCGCGTTCAGCTCTCCTTGAAGGCCCCTCATGCATACTTGTCGTTCTCATAGGCGTAGAACGATAGACCACATCCTCCTGACCTGGCCTTGGCAAAAGGAATTAGAGCTCGACTTCTCGTATCGAGGCCTACCGAGGTCTGCCCCTCTCTCTGTGCCTCTGTCCGCGCCTTGCCCTGCGCTGTGAGCACGCTATTCCTGTCTTGCCGGCCTGCCCGCCTGCCTGCCGAGTTGAGCTGCCGGCTGCCGGCGGCATCTGAAGTGGCGGAATCGCCGACTTCGGCAGCGGTGTTGGTTGGGAGCGAGGGAGCGAGGGAGCGAGGGAGCGCGTAAGGGCGGGCGCAAGGGCGCTTGTCGCTTGTTCCCCCCTTGGAGGTCCGTGGCCTGGCAGCAATGCCCGACGATGTCCCTCCTGCCCTGTGCCTTTGCCGATGTCCGGGGGGGCTGAGCACAGGAACATAGTCGGCGTGTGTGGAGGAGGGGGAGGCATGTCGGGGCAGAGGAGTCCAACCAACGAGGGGCACTGCCTCGATCATTTGAAAGCATGAGCTGGCATAGCCTTGCCTTGGCCCTTGGAAGGGCGTCGTCGCATTGGCCCTTGGGTGGAGGTGCCACACTGACCCCCTCCCTACTTCCCACCTCGGAAGGCTTTGGAAGCACCAGCACTGGGCCCCCAAACAGCGTTGAATGTATATATAGAGCCCACACCTTGTTCCTGAAAACCTCTGTCTCTCCTTCTTCTCTACACTACCAACTTCACACTCTACAACAGCCAACATGGGATTCTTCTCGCACGAAAGCCACTCTGACGTCTACAACTCTGGCCAAGGTGAGCATGCGTGCCAGCGCAAGTCACCCACTGTCGTAGGCGCCTACTAATGTTGAGCTCCCTCTACCTTTTACTTTCTGTAGAGCACGAGGCCAAGTTCTCCCACGAGCTCGTTGGAGGAGCCGCTGGTAAGTGAAACGCTCTAATAGTCATCGCTCAGCGTACTAATGATCAAGACTGACCATGGCATTACTTATCCCTATAGCCTTCGAGGCCATGAGGGTCTACGAGAAGAGGCAGGAGAGGGAGGGAAAGACTGAGAACCACGCCTTCGCCAAGGAGCTCCTCGGTGAGTGACAAGCACAGCAAGAGCACCGAGCAATAGTGCCAGCAGGCGATGAGCATTCTTCTGACACCCCTTCTCTCACTCGTTCATTCGCTCATTCCCCTTCTGACCATTATTGCCCTCTCAGCCGGTATCGCCGGAGCCGAGGTAGACAAGCTCTTTGAGACCAAGGGTCTGGACTACCTTGACCAGGAGAAGGCCAAGCGTCATGCCCAGCAGGAGGCCGTCTCTCAGTACGAGCAACGATACGAGTACTAATGTAGAACGACGATGGAACAAGATATTGCTTCCTATGAATGAGAGGTTGTGGCAGGCTACAATCTGTCACTTTTTCAGACATTCCGGATAGCTAGATAATGAAAAATCTATGACCTATACAATTGTGTGACGTGCGCTCCGTCTCCCAATCCTCTTCCTGATCTGCGTCCTCGTAGATCGAGCAGTGTCCCGCAATCAACCTCGAAATTCAGACAGCTGTGAGGGTTTGAGCAAATGTGAACTGATCAGGCCGCAAAAGGAGAAGGGTCAGCGGGTGAGCGATGCCTCATGATCGGCCTTGTGATACTCACCGTCTGACCCTTTTCCAGCTCCTCGAAGCCATTCGCTTTGCCAGGCTCGATACAGATGTACTCCTTCCATCCTCCCTCGTGCAAGTCCTTCATCCCCGCTGCTCCCTCTTCTGCAGGATTCCACACCACCGTCTGTGGACAATTCTCTGACCTCGTAAGCTGCAATCCACCCCCTTGCGATCCGTAGCTCAATTCGACCAGATCTGGCGCTGGGCCGAGATAGACGGCATCGCTAGCTTGTCCATTGAGGATAATGGGATCCTTTTCTGGCGAGAGCATCTTGCCTTTTGCTCCGTCGGTCTTGTCCAGGTAGCATTGTCCCACCAGACCTTTTACGGAGCAGCTGAGAGAAGATGGCACGGCTAGATAATTGTGGCACAGACACTGGAATCGCATGGGTGCCGATGCTGACGAGGAGGAAGAATGCGTAATGTGCAGCGAGGTTGTGAGATTCTTTGCAGTCAATGTGACATCGTAGACGAGCTCGAAGGGCCACTGGTACTTTGAGTCAATCCCCGGTAGGTCTTGCGAGGACAGGGCAAAGCTGGCAGTAGCACTCTCCTGACCTTGAGCATTCTTGCCATCGACTTCCTTGTTCTGCTTGAGCTGCCATTGAGCAGTCCTAGCAACGCCATGTCTGGGAACATTCTCCAACCCTTCGTTGTCCTCGTGATCCGATGCCGGTCCGAAGACTGGAAAAACGAGAGGAATCCCGCCTCGAATAGCGGCTGAGCCGTCTAGAGGAGTCTTCTTGGAAAGGAAGAGCTTCTCGGCAGAGCCGACCTTCCAGCTGATAACGGTAGCGCCATAGAGGAGGACGTCCGCGGAAGCCTTGCCACCTGGGAGCTCCAGGCGAGCAATCGAATCGTTCTTGACGAGGGTCAATGGCATCTTCGTGATGGTGTAAGTTGTTTGAGTGGGTCTAGGGTAGGATGCGGGCCTGGGTAGGGGGAACAGCCTTGTGCTGCGTAGAGGCGATCGAGGGCTCGGCCGGAAGGACCGAGGCCGAGCGTTTAGGTGGAGGAAAGCCAGTTCAAAGTCCGCCGAGGATAAGAAGCTGTGTCGGGCCTTAGCAGAGACGAGGCTCAGCCCTGGCAGGGAAAGCCATCTCCCCCAGCATCGTCTGCCCAGACTGGCCATCACCACCACCTGCCGGGACCATCAGCATCATCGCACCTCGCCACCCTAATACCGTCCCTTCACCCTCCTCCTCCTCACCGTATAGATGGGCAATCCACTGCCCGTGGACCTGCCTGCCGAGTGCCGGAAAGCAGACAAGGTACTCAAACAGTTCGTCGACCCGTGAGTACCGAGGGCTCGTGCTGCATCCGTACATGCACTTGCTCCACTTGCTCACCCACCTCTCACGACGTATGCAATCCCCCTCTTGTCGGATCAAAGTGTCAATGGCCTCGATAGGATCATCCCACTGACGGTCTTGCGCCGAGCCAAGGGCTTTGCCATCTTCTCCATTTTCCGGCTCGGCTTCCTCCTCACCGCCCGCGCCGGATCAGGTGTGGTCATTGCCAAGCTCCCCGATGGGACCTGGTCTGCTCCTTCGGCTTTGGGGATCGGCGGAATTGGTGGAGGATTCTCTGCCGGTGCAGAGGTGACCGACTTTATAGTCGTGCTCAACTCCAGGTCGGCCGTCAGGAGCTTCATGGCGACGGGAAGCCTGCAGTTGGGAGGCAACCTTAGCGTCGCAGTGGGACCGGTGGGCAGATCAGCAGAGGCCTCGGGAGCACTGAACAGTAGTGGAAAGGTAGCAGCGATGTTTAGCTACTCTAAGAGCCAGGGACTCTTTGGTGGTGAGTAGGGCAGAAGGGAGGGCGATGCACCCATATCTTTGGAACAACTGTATGAACGCTCCTATCCTGCTTCCCAAACCAATCAGGTATCTCCCTCGAGGGCACGATTCTTGTTGACCGGTCCGATGCAAATCACAAGGCATACGGCAGGGGAGCATCAGCCAAGCAGATCCTCTCTGGCAACATGGATCCCCCATCCTTCGCAATGAGCCTCATAGACACAATTGAGCGCCTCTCCCTCACAGGACGCATGTCAGAAGCGGCCCAGGCTGACGAGATTGAGCCTGGAGCCGGGAGAGACAGTTGGGACATGGATGATGACGGATATTCTGAGCAAAGCACATCAGGCAGAGCTGGCAACAACGACAGCGGCATTGATGGCTACTTCTCCCGAGCCGATCTGAACTCCCAGCGGCGTCCGAGTGATCGAGGTGACATCACACCAGGAGCCTCTAGGAAGTCTCCTTCCGCGGATTCCCAGCCCAAGAGGGACGATAGAGATCCTTTTGCGACATCGGAAGACGAAGAGACGTATAGCATGGACAGAGAAAACGCGACGCGCAATGCCGGAACGTATGCCTTTTCCCCAGCCGGTGGTGGATCGGCGACCAATTCGCCGAAGATGTCACGGGGAGGATCAGACTACGGTCGTTCTCAATCTTTCACCAAGTCAGGATCCAAGTCCCCCGGCTACTTTGATGACTACTCAGCAAATACAAAAGAGAAGAGGATGAGCCCTGTGAGCAGCAAGCGACCTAGCTTTGGCCATCGCAAATCCTCGTCTTCCTTCTCCCTGTCCAGATTCGGCATTGGCAAGGGCGCTCAGACACCTCCTGCCGGAGGCGTGAGCCCTTCAACGTCTCGCAAGACGCCTCCACCAGGCTCATTACTCAACAGCGACTTTCACCAGAGCTTCGGTCGGAGCTCTGAAAGTGAAGACGATTACGCACTTGGCTCCGCGGACGACTCTCGTCTCTATGGATCCGGTAAAGATCCGTACACAAATGGTGGTCTGAAGAAGACAACGGCTGCAGATGCGATCAGAGCTGCTGCCGGTAATCGAGGGGACTATGGCCGGGGCTCAACAGCCAGGAGTGCTGGCCTTTCTTCCTCGCGTCAGCAGGCCTCGAAAGCAGATGCATTTGGCGACCTCTGGAAATCGGAAAGAGCAAAGGAAGAGCTCAGTGGGATGGACCACCTCGATCGAGAGCTGCAGGGCGGGGTCGGAAGCTCAAAGAAGTCTAGTGGAATCTCGTCGTCCATATCGAATGACTACTACGGGCCGAATCCACATTCCGGTGTCTTCTCTTCACCTCAAAGACCTGCCAGTGGCTCACAGGTCGATCGGACCCGCTTCTCCAAGAGTCCAACATTCCTGAGCAAGTCCTTCAGGACAAGCAGTGGCAATGGTATGCGCAGCAAATCCTACACTCAAGAGATCACAAGTGACGCCTCCGATCACGATGACGATAGGGGGGGTCTGTGGCGTTCCGACTCAAAGGAGAGCTCCAGCCGAGACGCAATCATCGGCAATGGTGGCAATGGTCTATCGAGCAGTAGCAGTCGCATGGCAGCCTACCTCCGCGAAGGTCCCACACCCGCTGCCCGCTCCTCGAGTCACGCCAGCTACCCTTCTTCACCACCTTCCGCAAGTACCCACTCCAATCTTCAACCCTCCCTCTTCGACGACGACTTTGATCTTCCATCTACCTCTGGCACCTCCACTAGCGCTTATAGTTCCTCGCCTACCTCGACGCGCGCAGCAGGGACAGCCGCTGCCTCGCGCCTCCCTTCGCAGGGGAGAGTTATTGCAGCATTTGACTTCCAGGCGCAGGAGCCTGATGACCTGCCCCTGACGAGGGGAGAGGTCATCATGGTGCTCAAGAAGAGCGCGAATGTCAATGATTGGTGGCTGGGGAGAAACTCCAGTGGACAAATTGGGTCTTTCCCTGGAAACTATGTTGAGAGTGTTGATTGAAGAGCTCGGCTAAAGGAGAGGGTCTCAGGCGCAGGAGAAAGGTGTTCAGCGTGGCAAGTGCCCTTCGTGCGTCTTCTCTTGCCCTTTCCCTCACGCACCACCCGTGGTTCGATCATCATTCTCCTCTCCTCATGCGCCATTGCTTGCACTGTACTACTAGTTCCTTCTCTTTTCTCGCATCTGCAGCTCTCACAATCACATCAGAATCATATTCTCTGTAGAGACACGAGCTTGTCTGCTAATTGTCTCAACGCTGAATTGCTCCCGTTCAGTCTCTGTCAAAGTACACCGGCACACCATACACGACTGGCGCGCTACCGGTAAGGTATGGTAATCTACAGCAATCTCTACTCTCCGCAACCGCCCTAGCCAAAGACATTTTCTTCTTCTTTATCTCCTTGCCCGCTACCGCCAAGTCACCCCTCTTGAGACTGCAAGAAGACACGTCGAACCTCGCCTTTGAGGACTTCATTGCCGCCTTCAAGTCCTCGGAAGGCTCCCCCTTGAGGCCCAAGTGCAGCAGAACGGATTCGGAGAGACAGTCTAGCTCCTTGTCCGTAGCATCGAACAGCTGGCCCACCACGGCAGGTGCGCCGGCGATCATGTAGTTGTGTGGTGTGCCCGTCCGGTCATATTCGCCCTGATCACGGAGCACTGCACTGGAACAACCCCAGAGCATTGTTACCGCGCAGCGTTGCAGAGCGCGCAGTCGCGTCGTCTTGACGTACTGCTCTCCTCCCGAGTGACCGAAGTAGAGGACGAGGGAATGACTGCCAAGGGCATCGAGGTACTCGTTTGGCCCGGGAGCCTTTCCTATCAATCCGCGCGAATTGGGAATGGAGCGAAGGTAGCCCTCGAAGCGCTTCTGAGACTTTGCTAGATCGCCACTGGGGTTCAGGAGATAGTACGTCTTGCACTCCCTGGGCAGGTGAAAGGCACCATCGTTGTCTTGACTTGCGCCCAGACGGCGAGCCATCTCCACGCGGTCTTGCAAGAAGCTCATAGACGGGATACGACAGACGGCTCTACCTCTTAGAGCTGGAATCGACTCCCAGGGAATGGGAGCTGTGTCTTTATCGAGTATGAGGAAAATGTGATGATCCACCTCCTGCTCCTGCTGAGCACGACGGACTTTTGTGCAAGTGGAGCGGAAGTCTTCCAGGGCTGAACGCAGATCCACTGTGATCTCATCGAGGTCGGCCTCGTCGACCGCTACCGGCACGCCGTTGAACTGATGGACGTCCGCAATGAAGTGAAGCAGATCTTCAAGCTCCTCGTCGGTGACATTGGTAGACGACAAGCCAGCCACTACCTCTAGGATTGCCTCGTCGAGCTTGACTTTTGAACCTTTCTTCAGTGTGCCAGATGGAAAGCAAAGCCTCTTGACGATGCGGTCGAAAGCCGACCGAAGGACCGTCATTGCTGAAGAGTCTCGGTCGACTGGCAAGGGATCCATGAAGGTGCTCTTGAACGGCCCTAGCCACCGCAGCTCAATTGACTCGCAGAGAAGTCTGAGCCGGTCGTCCAGCTCCCTTCGACCAGTCCACCACATCTTGCGCGCGTCCATTTCAGCAGAGTCTGAGATGTTCTTGGCACTGGCAGTCAGATCGTTGCTTGACGTGACAATGTCATTCATCTCCTCTAGCGCAGCATCAATCGTCAGCTCTTCTTCCTCGCCCTCGCGACGAGCTTGACGGTCAATTGGCAGAGAGAAGACCAGATCGGACAATGTGGCACAGCCAGACCTGCGTGTCAGGACAATGGAGTTGCGCTCCTTTGACAGACTGATGGACACAACAGTCCAACCAGTCGGGAGTGTTTCACTACTCTTTGAAGGCTTTTCGTCGAAGACGGACTCTCGCAAGCCTTGATCTCGCCGACCTTGCCAGAACATGCGCATGATAGACTCTTCATCCTGAGTGGACTCGCCATCAGCATCAGCTTCGGGCCCGTTGCTATCCAGAGACTCGTCAGGCTCTTCAGATATTGCCCGACGTCCACGGGCTAGCACCTTCTCGGTCTTGCTCGGACCGGCTGCTAGGAGGCTAGGCCGCGAGGAAGCTTTCGTCTCGCGTGTCAGCTTGTCCCGGATGTCTATTGTTCTTGCAGCCATCCAATGATCCTTGTCTTCGAGGGGTCCGACGGGCTCGAGCTTGCTCCAGATGGCATCAAAGAACTCTCGTCTAAGGGTGATGGTCGAGGCCGAGCTGAGAGCCATTGCCTTGTGCAAGCTTGCAGCTTTGCCAACAGCCTCGGACATCGTAGCTTGCAGCGTTGCGGCCAGAGAGAGACCTTGAAGAGCGCTTCGAAGAGGGATCGAAGCACTGCTGGATTGTGAGGTGGCGGAAAGCGCCAGTGAAAAGGCCGAGCTGGCTTTCGTCAAGAGCGACATGGTCACTTTCGCGGACGCTGCCGAAGATGTTGTCATCTGTCTGCCGCTCGAGGAAGCTTGCTGAGCTATCATAGGTACCGCGATGGCAGCTTCAGGGATCATGCCCCAAATGGCATCGCTCTGCATCTGCTCCAAAGCTCTCTGCAGTGCGATCCTACCGTGCAGGAGATGAGTCTCCGTTCGACTAGGTCCTGTCAGCGCCTCCACAGCTTGCGCCTGTTCCATCACTTCCTCACTCTCACTTCCACGGCCCAGAATTTGTAACAACCATGCTTGTCGGCGAAGTAGTCTAACTTGAAGCTCCGGCAGCAGAACATCAGCTCGCGTCATCGTCGTCAGACTTGTTCGAGGAGACCTATGTTGCCCGCCGTGGGAAGACCTACGAGCTACCAGAGGCGACAGAGTCTTGGCGCCGCCAGTTGCTCGCGAAGAAGGAGACACTTGCTCGATCTCTGATACAGCCTTATCCAGTGCTTTCAAGGTAGCCTGACCGGTATTATAAGCCTTGATAGCTTCAGCATAGGTCTCAGGATCCTTTGCGAACTGATCGCCCTGTATACAGGCAAGACCTGCAGCCTCTGGCAACCACACATCGCTCAGCACCTCCAGGCTCCGAGCCACGTCCATCTCACCATCGCTCTTCTTGCCCAGCTGGAGACGCAGCTCAGCGCGAAGGAGCAGGGATTGAGCTAGACCCAGCTTCAAGTTCAGCGAGTCGGCCAGATGGACTGCCTCCGTCGCGAACATGTCCGCTTGTGCAGCTGTTCCGCGAATCTCGTTGAGCCGAGCAAGCTTCTGATATGACGAAAGAAGAGCAGCATTCACTTTCCAGTGAGCAGCGGCTACTCGCAGCGAGGGTAATGAAGAAGAGCCAATGGTCCGCCCTTTCTTCGAAGCGGGCTGGAGTGGTACAGCTTGAAGTGACTGTAATTGCGCTTCCTTCGCCTGCTGAGCCGGGTCTGCGCTCGCGCTCACGAAAGGGTCCTCCTCGACAACCCCGTCGCTTTCTCTTGACTTTGTCAAAAGCGCAACAACACTGCTGGCACGGGTAACATAAGCCGTGGCATGGGTCGCAGCTTCGATAGCGCTCCTGAGGTCACCACTTGCCAGCATCAGGACTGCGTATGTGTCGGCAGCTGAGCTGATCCTGAGGTGACCATCGATCTTGAGAAAGGCCCGACTGAGTGAAGAGGTCCTTGGCTGCTTGCCTTGTGCACGCTCAATGGAGCGTCCAAGCTCTAGAGCTTCGTTGTACGCTGCCAGAGCACGACTTGACGGAGAGTCGCTTTGCGCCAAAGTCGTTGCCTGAGCCAGGAGATAGTAGAAGCGAGTATCCTGCGATACCTCGGAGATCTGCTGAGATGCAGCACAGTATCTGGATGCAGAAGAGAGAAAAGACATTGCTTTACCTGCTCGCCCCAGCACAAGATATTGCTTTGCGACTGCAATGGTCGTACGCGTCCAGAGGTCAACGTCATCACCCGCTAATCGACGCAACACCTTGAGAAGGTCAAGACTTGCAAGACAGTGGCCGTAGGCGATTAGCTGATGGCAGATGAGCTCCGCAAGAGCAAGCAAGCGAGTAGATCCTGACCAGGTCGTCGACGCTTTCCGAAGAGGGGTGACAGCATCGCCGGCATCGACCATCTTGCGAGGAGGGGTCACGGGTGACGAGGTAGGAGGTGTAGACGGCTGCTTCGGTGCAGTGGTCTTGCGGAGCGGCTCACGCTTCTTGATCGGCTTGTCGCTAGTAGACGTGAGCTGCCTCGTCCTCCCTGCTACAACTTTGGCGGGCGCAGCTGCAACCTTGGGACCTGCACGGGAGGCTGCTTTGACCGGAGTCAAAGGCTTGTCTGTAGCTAGAAGTCCTCGAAGGCACTGGGCCGCCCTCTTGGCGGCTTCTGTAAGCTCCTGAGATGACGTCGCAGCAAGCCTAGATGGCTGGTCAAGCCGCTGTATGAAGAGAATTGAGAGTAAGTGCAATCTTGCCCGGTAGACGGGAATGTGAGATCGTAGGCCTTCATCCGAAGCTAGCTCGTGCTGATCAAGCAGCTGTTGAACCTCTTCGAGGACACTCTTCGCTTCGTTGCAGCGCCTGCCACTCAAGACTCTCGTTTCGAGATCCCGCAGCAGAAGTCTTGCTCGTCGTAGTGGACGTTTCTCGGCATCGGCCAAATCGCAACACACTTTGAGGATCGCATCGGCAGCGTCTGGAACACCATCCAAGGGCGTGCGGCTCTCAAGCCAATCGCTGGTAATGATGTGTTCAAAACACATCAACCTGGCATCATCTGGAACATTGCTGCTCTGGAGCATAGCAGAAACACCGTCGACCGAGTCGCCTCTCTGTTGGGCAAGCAGATCGATTATTGAGGTTTCTGCCAGGGTGCGCAGATTGCGGCCGAACTTTGGCCAGTCGTACCTCACGAACGAAGAAGACTTGAACGTCTGGGCATTGACAGCACTACCATCTTCGCGGAAGAGTTCGACAGGCGTGTCGAGACCGGCGATCCTTTCGAGCTCCTGCCACTGTGCTAGTGGGACCGCGGCAATGTAGTGGTGCAAAGCTGCGAGAGTTTCCTTGTGCTTAGACAAGGCTCGGTAGCAAACCGAGACGTGCTCCCATCTGCTGCAAAGCGTCGTTCCTCCCACTTCATCCGTCCATCCTAATTCTGCAGCGTGCTGTAGCAGATTTGCTGCTGGGTTCATGAAGGAGACGGCAGAGGCGTACTTGGCCTCCTTGTATTGCCGTGCACCAAGTGCAGACGCAGTAGAGCTCAACAGTCGCACCTCTTGCACCAGAGCCTGACGCTCTGATGGTTCGGAAGCAGGAAGCGCATCCGAAGAGCTTCCCTTGGTATCAGACAGGACAATGTATCTTTGGAGAAACGCCATAGCACGCGAGAGAGTTCCCTGCGCAGATCCTTCCAGAGTCTTGATGTGAGCCACGGCATCGAATTGGGCGACAACGAGAAGGCGAACGCTCTGCAGTACGCTGCAGATGCTCGACACAGAGTCTGTGTCGGCAATAGTAGACGTGCTCGAAGCCGTCAGAGTCACGAGAGCGTCCATGGCTGCTCCTGCAACCTGCGACATCAATCTCAAAATTGTCTCCCTCTTCTCGTCTGTCCGAACTTCTTGTATCGACATGCTCGCCACCGCCGAGGTTAAATCTGCTGTATGTATCGATTCATTCGACGCCGGCTGCCATGCGCTAATCTCGCCTCTGCATCTTCTCAGCAATCTTTCGCAGATCTTGAGCAGATCCGAGGCGTCGGCATCATTTCTCAATGGTTCGTCGCCTGCCAAGTTCTGTAGACTTTGCAGGCTGTCAGTCGTCTTGGCCAATGCACGAAGTGCAGACTCCGGCATTCCCACGCCGTCGCCTCGGGTTACGTCGAAGAGAGCAACCGCACTGGAACATTGCGAGAGGGCCTGCTGATGGGCTACTGACCAGGCTTTTGGAGATGCAGAGACTTGGCGCTGACCATCAGCGGTCTGGCCTGGCTCTTGGCTGCTATTGCGTCCTTCCAGCCTGTTGATTGTGCCGAAGTCGCCATTGTGCTTTGCGAGCCACTTCCATGTATTGACCACATCGGTCCATGCTGCCAGGGCAGTCCATTTGTCGTCCGCCGGAACATCTTTATCCAGCTGTTCTAGCTTTGCTTCGAATTCAAGAAGTGTCGCGTGCGCCTCATTATAGACTGTGGTCTTGGTTGCAGCATCTGCCGAGGCACACTCACGCCAGTAACTCTTCAACATCTTTGCCGCTTTCTGTAGAAGGGCGTCCCGCCGAGCCAAAGCCGAGCCCGGCTGTCCGGGCAAATCCTGGAATGTACTGCAAAGCAGGCAGGACACAGCAGCCCTCCGAGCTCGGAAAATGAGCTGTTGATGCTCTAGCTTGGCACTGTCTTCCGACGGGCGCTTGCCGTCGATCTTTGTCACGTAAAGAGACAGAGACCTTTCTGCCTGGTAGCAGCATCTCTGCAGCAGAGGAAAGGTCGGGTGGGTAGCAATCGGATCGGAACTTTGGGTCTGGCGCAGCCAAGCCAACAATCCACGCTCTTCTGCCATCACAGCGGCTACGAGCTCTTGCAGGTCGCTGAGCAAAATATCGCCGTTGACCTGCAGCCTCGAAAGAACCATAGCCTGGAAGTCGAGGACAAAGGCCATGAGACTTTCCTCCTTCTGCGCTGCATCAGAGCATTGGAGTTGCAGCAGCGAAGGCGGGGTGATGTCCGTGCTTTGCGATGCCGACATGTTGCTCTCTATGCGAAGCTCTGGGAAGCGTTGCATGAGTGCTTCGTGCAGATATCTCAGCTCCGTGGGCAAGGCAACGTTGATCTCCAGAGCAGCAATCCTCTTAAGAGTCATCAGGACCATCTGGAACTTCCTGACTCCATCTTTGCTGTCTTTTTCTCCGGTCGTATCCGCGATCACCATGCGACATGCTATCCGAAAGGCGTCCACGAGATGCAAGACATTTCGCGGGCGAGGTGAGATATTTTTGTCGGCCTCGGCTGCTAACATTCGCCAGCCTGAGGTGATAAGAGCAGCGAGAGACTGCATCACAGCATTGAAAGCGAGCTTGCATAGCCTGCTTGCATGTAGAGGTTGTCTAGAGCTGGAGGCGGTCGACTCTGTCGGCCTCGGCAAGGGTAGGAGTGGCTTGAGGGACAGCTGCTCTGGTGTTACGTTTAGATGGCGTAAGAGCTCGGTGAGGGTGTGAGGTGTGACCGACTTGCCCTCTTTGAGTGCAGCTATCACTTCTTCTGGTTCAAGAGGGTCAGGAGGTGGCTGTGAAGGCTGGTTCGGAATTACAGTACGCGCTGATGAAGATGCTGCTGCTGTCGTGGTCCGCCTCCGCGTTGCATCAGAGGAAGATGCTGGTTGCGGGGGGACAACTGTTTTGCCATCGGGCCGAGCTTGAGATCCATTGCGACTGGGAGCTGATGGTCTGACAGCAGCTGTGGACCTCTCAGTAGGTACTGAGGGCTTGATGTGATTGCTAGCTCGAGCAGAGGAGGAAGCCTGCGAGTCTGACGACGCGGTCGCGCTCTTCTTCTTGATGCCAATGCTCGAGGTGGACGCGACGGTCCGCGTCCGGGCCGCAGAAGGCCCTGGCGCTGCTGGCTGCGCAGCAGCAACTCTTGCAGGCATGCCAAACCTAAGCTGTTGAGGGTATGATGACGCTGAAGGAAGTGGACATGGAATGAAGTGAAGGGAAGAATGTGGTATGCTTCAGCGGGAAGGAGAGGCGGAAGTGTTGGTTGGTCTCGCAGGCGCGGGCGAAGCGCGCTCGGAAGCGTGACTGCCGGCGGGCGAGAGACGAGACAAGAGGGGCCCATCCATTTCCATTGTCTTCGTCGCCATCGCATCTTCCTCGCCTCGTCGCCATTGTCCTTGAGATACGGTCCCGACGTCGTCTCCATATCATTCATTATGAGGCTGCTGTCGTCGAATCCTCTTTCACTCTTCCTGTCGGCGCTGCTGCTGGCGACGCCAGTCTTCTCTATCAAGTTCGACGTGCTAGCGAAGACCTCCCCCACCACACGGTGCATATGGAACTATGCACTGGCAGATACATTGGTCATTGTCACCATCAATACTGGCCCCATCCCTAATTCCACGATCGATGCAGAGGGACAACAGGTGGATGTAGAGATCGTCGATGCCAGCCAACATAACAATGTCTACCTGGCAAAGAAGAACATCAAGGGCGAGGCGAGGATGGCTATCAATACCCATTCCAATTCGGATCTGGGAGTTTGCATCACGAACAAGCTCGTCGTCCGTGAGTATTGAAGCGAGAGAGGGAGCGAGCCAAAGGTCGGCTGTATAGCCGGTATGCTGCGATCCTGTACTTCTCACTGACCTCTCGCTACTTCTTTCCCCTCTGATTGCCCTCAGGACGAACCGTGCAAGGCAACGCTGGCTCGACAATCGACCTAGACGTGGACATCGGTGCAGACGCGGTAGATTACAATGCCATTGCCAATCAGGAATCGCTTTCGGGGCTCGAGACGGAGATGAAGAAGCTGGAAGCCGTGGCCGGGGAGATTCTAGATGGGCTAGAGTATCTCAAGAAGAGGGAGGAGAGGATGCGGGGTACCAATGGTGAGTTGATGAGTTGATGGGGCAGTCAAGGGAGAGAAGGAGAAGAAGTCTTTGATGGCAGAAAGACAAGCGTATGACATCTGATCATTTTTGTCATCCTCTGCGTGCGCAGAATCGACGAACTCAAGAGTGCAAGACTTTGCCTCTCTCACACTAGTAGCGCTTGTCGCCCTCGGCATCTGGCAGATGTGGCATTTGCGTCAGTTCTTCAGGCGCAAGTACCTCATCGATTGAAGAGGGCGATACGTCAGGTGTGCACGAAGGGATCGCAGCACCCCGCACATGTGCTGGCCCTTCTGAACGCGCTTGGGGCGGTCTAGCACAGGCTTCACCGCCTGTGATGGTTGCGGCAATGATCAAGGTGGTCTGTAGCATATCAGACAAAAGTGACGACGCTTTAATGAAACCTCGATGTCAATGCTCTCCTGGGTACGTCTCTGGGCGGGCAGGATGGCCCAGACGTTGTGGAGCAGTGCCGGCGGTGCGGAACAGAGAGTGCGTGGCGGGAATCTCTCTATGGAAGGCCAACCTTTCCCTCTACTCTCTACTTTGCCACCAAGGTCAAGCTCACTACCTTTTTCCTTCCTGTCCAGCCTTCACCATCATCCGTCCATCTCTTTCCCTCTTCGCCTCCGTAGCGACCAGAACCATGTCTCCCTCCAGCACCTCCCCTCCCCCACGGCAGATCGCCATCATCGGCGCGGGTATCATGGGTTCCTCCACTCTCTCCTACCTCGCCTCTCACCCTTCCCTACCCCCTCACTCCACCCTCCATCTAATAGAAAGTGCCTCTCGCCTAGCTCCCGCTGCTTCAGGGAAAGCAGGTGGGTTTCTCGCTGAAGATTGGCATGGGGCAGCTACTGCCTCGCTTGCTTCTTTGAGCTTTAGACTTCATAGGGAATTGGCAGAGAGGGCTGGAGGCAAGGAGAAGTGGGGGTATAGGGATGTGGAGACGTTGAGTGTTGAGTATGATGCGACTGGATCTGATAAAAAGGGAAAGGGGAGGAAGAATAATGGCGGTGGAGCTAAAGTGGGAAAGGAGGTTGACTGGATCGATGCAGAGCACATTGCTGGTTCTTCTAGACTTGGAGGAGGAGGCACAACAGCACAGGTCACGCCGGGCAAGCTGGTCGAGTATCTCGTGCAAGAAGCAGAGCAGCTTGGCAGCCAAAAGGACATCAAGGTGGACGTTCGACTAGGGACAACTGCCAAGAGTCTCGAGCTCAACGAGGACGGGTCTGGCAAAGTGTCCGGTCTAGTCGTTTCTAGTGGTGAAGGAGAGGAGAAGCTCCCAATCACCGACGTGGTGATAGCCGCAGGACCCTGGACGGGCACTCTAGTCAAGCAGCTCTTCCCTTCGGCCCGCACCTCCTCCCGTCTCCTCTCCTCTGCCGCAAGAGTCACAGGTTCTCGCGCCCACTCCATCATCATCAAAGGCTCCCGACCCACTAGTAACCACTGCCTATTCACCGATATGCGCTTCTCCCGCGGACCTGGCAAGGGGACTAGTGCGGCTGCGCCAGAGGTGTACGCTAGAGCAGACGGAACAGTCTATGTCTGTGGTGGCGGGGACGATGAGCCTCTACCTGCAACGGCGGAAGAAGTTGTGTATGATGGCAAGAAGACGAGGGATTTGATTGAGCAGTCCGCCGTCCTCTCTCCGGATGTACTGTCCATTGAAGATGGCAAAAAGAGCGGAAGTGCAACACTAGTGGCCGAGCAAGCCTGCTATCTTCCCATGGCAGCGGGTAATATGCTATTGGGAGGAGACGCAAAGACGGGAGTTTGGCTCACGGCGGGTGCGAGTTGTTGGGGAATCACATTGGGACTTGGTACGGGAGCGGTCATGGCTGATTTGATCTTGACGGGCAAGACGGAGCAGGCTGATATCAGAATGTTGCAAGGCTGAGCGTCTCCTTGTCCTATCGTCCGTATTGTCCGTATTGTAACGAGATCTTGTACTTCAACTATCCCCAGTCTCGATACCAGTCTCAATAAAGCAATGCTGACACGTGAAACATGCTATTGGCGACGGGTATGAGGCGACGCAGCTGGGTATCGACTATGAGAATGTGATGCGAGAAGGAAAGTGTATACAGCGACCTCTTTCTCTCGTGCGTGCTCAGAGAACCTTTACGCCTCTACTGCCCTGCCATGTGCCTTACAATAAGGCAGTTCACATGATACAACAATCCTTGTCCTTGTCCATTGAAGAGCTCTGCAATCCCATCTCGGCAAATGTGCTGTACTTTCTTCCACCTCCAGGCGTCGTTTCCACTCCATTAGCTCCGCTGCCACGACGTCCACTGGCAGTAGTGCCCGCGGAACCTCTCCTGCCATGCCCATTACTCGTCGAGTCGCGTTGGTCTGGAGTGCCAGGACAGAGGAGGGTACCGGGATTGGTCTGCATTCTCTGCTGAGGGGAAGGGGTGACAAAGGGTCCTGAAGTGCCACTGGCTCTTCTACCGCTTGGAGAAGGGGTACGATTGATGCCTGCGCGCTGTTGGTAATTCTGCCCTGCGCTCGAAAGAGCTGCTTGATCGGATGAGGAGCCGACGCGAGACCTAGGCTGGTGGGATAATGGCGTGCTCCGACCCGACGCAGGACTGCCGTGGTGCGGCTGCTGCGTAGCGGCCAGTTCATTGACCATTCTCAAGGTCCTCTTCTTACTGAAGTCCTGCGATGCACCCCCTACGGAGTAGGCCGCAGGTCCGTCCCCGTTGAGGTTGACGGACTGCAGACCGCCCTCGATGCTGATGCTGGCGGCAGTGGCATCCACAGACCCTCTTCTGCCTCCCCGCTTTCCTCTGCCTTCTCTAATAGACAGGTTCCTTGCAGCAGTATGCCCGCGCGTCATCTGCGAGTCGAGCTCAGCCTCGTATTGGGAGCGGGAGACAGCAGCATCCGTCGACGCAGCCAGAGCCGTGAGTCTAGTCTGCGCATCCGCATTACCTTGGGCAGCAGATCTACGGTACCACTTCATAGCCAGCGGCAGGTCTTTGTCGCAGCCTACGCCCACCTCGTAATAGTAGGCCAAGGCAAATTCGGCAGCAGGAAGATTGCGACGAGTAGCTTTTTCAGCAAAGGTGAATGCCAGCGCTTCGTTCTTCTCAAAACAGCCCTCGGCTCCGCATAGGAACCAGCGCGATAGTGCAACGTCTGCTTCGGCTTTGCCGCCTTTTGATGCAAGCGAGTAGTACTGCACAGAGAGTAGAGGGTCAAAGGGACATTGGATCTTGGCATACTCGTATGCCCAGCCGAGCTTGAGCTGAGCAGAGGCGTGATTGAGGTAAGCGGCCCGCTCGATGTAACGCAGTGCCAGCTGCTCTGAGCTGGGTGAGCCATGAGGAGAAGGTCGAATAAGTTCGTCTGGGATGTTGAGATGGGCGTATTCTCCTGCGTGGAGCTGTCCGTAAAAGAAGCCTGGCTCAGGCAGATCTTCGTTCGCCATGTCAGCGGCAAGTCTGAGAAGAGGCAGAGCCTTCTCAAAGTCTTGCTTGACTTTCAATTGGCCAAACAGATAAGCCCGACCCATACGGAAGGTCGAGTTTGTGTCTTGCAACTGGCAGCCCCGTTCGTAGGCATCTTTACTGAGGGCGTAAGAATGATGCAACTCGTAGTCCCTTCCGATGCGGTACCAAGATGCAGGGAACCCAGCCCTACCAGACTTTTCAAAGTCAGTGAAGGCATCTCTCGGATCTTTGACGTGGTATGTAGAGAAATTGCCTGACGCTTTCAGGTCACCACGCAGATACAGCGCTTCGGGGTCGGGTGGTGATGCGCCCGCTCGTCGATTGATGGTAGCCATGGCATCATCAATCCAGCGCAGAAGGGTAGGGTCGTTGACTTTGGCGGCAGTTCCATGCTCGCGCTCAACATACCTCATGACTCGCCTTGCCCATTGTACCTTTTGCCTCTCCTCTCCACTAGCAATTGCCGCTTCCCTACGTCGCGCCAAGGAGCCCATTGTGGGCAGGGATAGAGAGAGACGAGGAGCACCCGCCACGCTACTGTCACTGCTGCTGTGGCTGGCCTGGCTGGATGCACTAGCTCTTCTCAGCTCGATTACGCTTGAAGTAGGCACGGGAGAAGTTGCAACAACGGGCAGACTGCCTCTTCGGGGGCCAGACCCGGAAGGATACCCATCTGGGTATGGCTGCGATTGCGGTGCCCAGAAGCGATCCGAGGTGGAGGAATTGGGGCCGGGAGGGTTAACGTCGGAGGTCGCAGAGCGATGTATGCGCTGTGGGGGATGTAAGCCCATGGGGCCAGGTGCATGAGATGAGTAGGGCGCGACATAGGCAGGTGGTGCTAGGCTGCCCATGCCCTCTCCAGAGACGGAACTTCGAATGTGGTCGAGGGAGGCAGGTTGCGCAGCGCCGAAAGGTATTATTGGAGCAGGATGTAGATAGGGAGCTGCTGCTGAATTGGAATAGTGTTCTTGCCGTTGCGGCACGCCCTCGTAACCCCTCATCTGACCTCCCAAATGAGGTAATTGCGGTGCTCCAGAGCTAGCGACTGAGCGGTAGTAGCCTTGCAAGGGTGCAATCGAGGGAGGCGAAGAAGAGAAAGGTGCTGGTCCGGACCGTGAAGTAGTGTAAAGGCCGGACATCCGCGCTTGTCTGTATAGCTAGCTAAGAGGTCTCAATGCAACGTTCCGTATGCTGACAAGGATGCTCGAGGGGGAAATGCTGCGAAGGAGGGAGGATGCTGGTGTGGGGGCCGTGAATGGAAAGATAGCCGAGGTGGGCGGGGGGGTGTGGGAAAGCGCAGCCGATGTGGTGTCCCGCAGATTGACGAGGAGAGGATGACTGCGTCTATGAAAGAGGGGAGATGAAAAGCTGCAACGACCTTGGAAGATGCAGAATGGACAAGAAGCTGAATGCTGGAAGCGTGATGAGATACGATGAAGGGCCCGAGTGTTAGAATGGTGGGACGAGGTGAGGCCATGCGATGACCCGGGGCAGAGGTGGGAGTGTGCCCTTATGACCGCGTAGGGCGGAAATCTCCTCTTCTGCAGGGGTCACACACACTCCCCGCCCGCCCTGGCCAGGCAAAGTGGAGAACAATGCGACGGAGATGCGGCGGTGCATCCGCCAATCAAGCAGGCCAGAGACACAAGCCCCGCCCGCCCCGCGCCTCACTTTTTAGTCACGGAACACCGACAAAGGAGCCATCGACGCACACCAGCAGCGCAGTGGCGCGGGACGATCATCGGCACCACCAGCCATAGGCGAACAAGGCTCAGCTCACGTCAACCACAAAGGTGTACCACTCAAGCCCAGCCAAGCACGGAACGCCACTTCGGCATCCTGAGATCAATGCGCCTTTTGGAAAGGTGGGACAAGGTCATGACAGAAGATTCATCATTAAAGGCAGGGTACATTGCGGAAGGGCCAACAGAGGGGGAAAGGACCAGACGAAACTTGTTTTGTTTGAGAAAGGGAAGCAACGTCCCTAAGCAACATGCGTCATCGTCGCATTGGCCGGCATCGTTGCGGCCATTCATCGTCTACGCGTCCAGATATGTTCAATTGTCCGTGTTCAAGATTTCTTCGATAGTCCGATTGATCAGATCCTTCTTGTCCGTGAGGTCAGCACCGCCGTACTTGGCCGCAAGCTGACCTCTAAGCTGCTTCTTCGTGACCGTGTTCAGGTCTGCGCCCGCAATCAGATGACGCAGATCGTTCTTGATCGTCTCATCCGAAGGCAGCCCGTCATCGAAGAGACCTGCGCCGCTCATCGTACGCTGAGGCGGCAGAAGCAGAGGCTCGTCAGAGGGCGTGGGTGGACCCAGAGGCAGGCCGTACATCGAATTGGTCTGGCCGGGTCTGCCCATGCCCTCCCATCCACCGAAAAGAGAAGGAGTGGAAGTAGAAGGGAAGACGACTGAGCTGCTTGCTTGGTGTTGAAGGGGCATGCGCTGGTAGGGGCCCGAGCCCATCATCGGCGTGGGCCCCATAGCCATCTCGCCGCCGAAGGAGTAGGTGCTCTGTCTAGGGTCGAACATCATACTCTGAGACGAAGCGTATGGCCGCTGGTAAGGTGTGTATTGCCCATCTCCGGCGTAAGAGCCAGACAGGCTAGCCGCGTAGCTTCCGGATCGGGGCATCATCGGGGCAGCTCCCCCGATACTTCCCTCGTATAGGGATCCTGCCTGTGACTTGCCCATCCTCGAGCCGCCATACAGACTGCCTCGGGACGACTTGGACGCCAAGATGTCACCGATGGTGTGACCCGATTGACGCTCCCAAAGCTCATTCTCGTAGTCTGACCAAGTCTGAAGTGGGATCTCCGAGGGATCGAAAGTGCCTTCATCGTGTACGACGACCTTCTCGCCAGACTCGCCTGTGACGACACGTGTGTTTCCCCAGGAGAAGTCGTCCATATGCCAAAAGGAGTACAGGGGCAGGAAGAAGGACCAGATCGGAATACCTATGATGTACACGATCATCCATCCTAGCATCTCGAATTTGCGGTTGAGAATGAAGATAATGGCTTGCAGGCCATAGATGGCAGCAAGCATGACCAGCGACAGCGTTGGTATGGACTCGCCTTCGGCAGCCACCAGCACGATCAGGTAGACTAGGTATGCCACCGTGACGGGAGCAATGATTGTCGAAAGCAGATCGATGAAAACGATGAAGCGCATAGAGAACTGAGAATGAAGCAATGCAGCGGTCAGTAATGAGACAGATGCAGCAGAGATCGCCAAACTTCAGATACTCACAAGGAAGACACCACATAGACCAGGAGTCTTCATCAGTTCGAAGAGGTTGTGTACCGTCGAATTGATCCATCTTCGCCTCTGCGAGAGCAGCACCGACCATTCCTCTGGCGCAGCAGTGAGAGCTTTGCCAGCCCGAGTAAAGACCGTCTTGTAGTTGCCAAAGTGTTTCAATACCAGCGTGGTCAGGTATCGATCCTCGCCCAAGGTAAGCAGATTCTTTGTGTGAAGAGTGTCCACTCGGTTCTCCGCATACTCGTCAACGACACGATTGGCTACGAAGAGCGGTCGATGGGTGTCTGGAGATCTGATACGGAACATCGAAAAACATCCTGGTAGACAGGTCACCGATCCAAAGAGACTCTCGAAAGCCTTTGCCAAGTAGTGAGAAATGTAGTATTCGTACACCTGCAGCATGGTGACGAAGCTCTTCTTTGCGTTAGACAAAGCTGTCTCTCCACAAAGGCCGATGATCTTCTTGTCGTTGATGAATGCCGAGACAAAGTGAGCCAGACACCACTGGTCCACTTCTGTGTCCGCATCCACTTGCAGGACGTACTCATAAAAGCTGGGATTGACTCCTATGATGTTCTTGATGTGATGATTGATCTCCAGCTCCATCGGATTCATGGGGGTACCAAAGTGGACGCGATTGAGGAAGCGCATTAAGACCAATTGCGAGTCTCGCTTGCCCCTATTACCAGGTCGAGAACGCTCTGTTGGCTTTCCTACCTTGACCACGACAAGGTAGGGGACCACGTGACCTGAACACTCGTAGAGACCGCTATAGACCTTGGCCATGTTGTGCTGCTTGCTGCCTTCTCCCACGGAAAGGAAACTCAGCGGCTCAGGATCGAGATTTGGGTCTACGCCTAGAATGTCGAGTACGATCTGCGGAGTAGGTCGATCGTTACCTGCGCCTACGATCATGCCATCGCAAATGATGAAGAGAAGTTTCCGTTTGTCGTCGTACTTAAGGGCAGCTAGGGAGTCAATAGTCTTGCGCATGGATTCCTCGCCTTCAGTATAGCAAGGAACTTGGCAGATCACAAAACGGTCGTGACTCTCTGGCACTCTTGTGCGAGAGAATTGCAGCGCAGCAAGGAATTTGAAGCCGATGATAGAGACCATGAAGATGGACATTGCGAGCAGGATGTAACGAGAGAATTGACATCGCGCCGAGTTGCGACTGTCCTTCTTGCCAATGAAGAAGAGATTGCGCAAGCAAGTCCCCTGCGCTGCCAAGACTTCTGCACTGAGCGGAAGGCTATTGAGCTGCTTGGTGATATCTTTGCCAGCACTTGCCGTGAAAAGATCGATGATGGCAGGGGACATGAAAGCCGTGTTCGTATCCGCGGGAGCTTGCTCGCCAGCTGGAGCTTGGAGCACACCTCTGCTGCCTTGATTGACGTAGTCTGTGACGTCGTAAATGCCACCGTCAATTTCAGCTACAATGCTCCCATCCTCCAGCAGACTCGAAATCTCTGTGGGCGTGTAGCCAACAAAGCCAACTCGATAGTTCGAGCGCATGAGCCACATGGACTCGTAGTACCAGTCAGGTCGCACATCGTCCTGCAGGAACGTCCTGAAGTCGTGGTATTGAGAATTGGAGTCTGTCTGGTTGACGCCGGATAGCTGAACCCAGGGACTGATATCTCCATTGATTCCACTGCACAGAGCATTGACTTGAACTGGGAAGATCGAAGTTGAGTCCTGTCCAGCATAGTCCAGGAGGACATCGTCAGCAACGACTGAAACAACCGCCCTATGGTACGTGAGCAGGCTGGTCAGATCGAACACCTCGCCTCGTATCGACGTGAAAGCGTTGTCGTCGCTGCTGTGCGCAGCTACTTCTGTAGTGCTGTAGACATGTTCTGTTGGGCAAATGAGATCACCTAGAACGGCCACGACGAAGATGGCAGCACCGCAGACAAACCAAATCATCATGTTGATGGCGAGCTTTTCGCGCCAGGCCATCCGAATGTCGGGCCGCTTGAGGCGGCCCCAAGCCGAAAGCAAGACGCTTGGAACAAAGAATGTCAACATTTGAGTAAGCCTGACCCACCACCTACGGGTCGATGTCTCTCGGACCTTCTCGGCCGTTTGGCCGGGCGACGGAGCCCCAAAAGCAGCGCTTGCTGTCGCCTTCTCATTTAGCAGATCGTGGCCAACAGCGCCTCCGAACATGTTGCGAGAAGGCGCATAAGCCTCTGACGCCACCACGGAGCCAGGTCTTGAGAGTCCATCGAAAGAACGAGTGGGGAAGGATGGGGCCATCCATTCACTCTTGTCATCCTCAACCAGCATTGGCGTTTCGCCTCCGCTCACCAGCGGTAGAGCTGAGCTGGAGTCATGGAAAGGGTTGCCGTACGATAGCAGCGCAGTGCTGTCTTGAGATCCCATACGGTCTCTGCTGGAGAGCGATGCATCACACCCGAATGGAGAGAACAGGTCCAAGTCGCCTCGAGTCGCCGCTTCGGCATCGATGTCGTTCCTTCTGGCGTTGAAGCGCTGCTCCTCCTCGTCCATGGTGCGAAGCTCATCTTCCAGCTCACGGAAAGCGTCATGTGACAAGAAGACCTTTGTCCTGCCGCTCACCGCATCCTTGTCGGTCCAATTCATGACCTCTTTGGCATCGTGGAACTTCTGTTTCGCCGCTCCCGAAGTGCGCTCTTGCATCTTGACAGGTGTCAATGATGGCACAAGGGCATACCGCTCACAGAATTCATCGTGAGTCATACTGACACTGTACTCTAGCACCACTTTACGGGCCATCTCTGTGATGTTGTGGCTCTTGAGCTGTTGTTTGATCAAACGACCTTCGAACTGGTTGGGGAGTTGATTGTCATTTGGTCTTAGGCACAGCACGTGCCAGGCTTGTGTATCCTCCAGTGTCTCGAAGAGAGTATCAAGAGCTGAGCGGAGTTCACCCGCTGCGCAGGAGACTGTGGGCACCATAGACTTTTTGTTGTGAGTTCCTTGCTCACTTTCCTTGTCGTCTGCAGATTCATCAGCGTCTGCAACACCCGGAAGGCCTATGCGTGTACTGTTGGATCTCTTGACGGTACCAGCTCGGTTCGGCCTTCGTGTGGAGGGAGCTCGAATCGGTTTGACAGACTGTTGGGCGGCTACAGGAGTCTTTTCGCTCCGTGGATGTGACTGAGTTGTGATAGCTGCGGTCTTGAACAGTGACCGTACGAATGCACTCTTTGAGCCTTGCTCAGGCGACGGTGCATCACCTTTGAGAAGAGCTAGGAAATCGGCACTCAGAGTCTCCGAGTTCCTCTCCAACCAGCCTTCGCTGCTGTAGGTGACAGGGCCGTGGAAGTGGGATATCTGAAATGTCGGGAAGCCATTCCGATTGTTGCCACCGATGCTGAAGTCAGCATGACTCCCCCATCGCCTGGCAAAAGCCTCCGTCATGCTCTGATTCGTCTTTTTAGGCATGCGACGAGCTTGATCGTCCATGATGTGTACAAGTCCGCCAGGCTGGTTGGTGATCAGTCTTAAGCACTCGGCGTTGTCAAAGAAGGGTATCTGGGGGTAGAATTGGCTGATGCCTTCGTGATCGCACTCTCCTGCCTTCTTCTCGAAGATAGATGCGAGCATGTATCGATGGAGACGCTCGTTGGCAAAGTTGACGCCGAAATCGTCGAACGAATGTGAGAGGCTGGACGTGCGCGGTCCTGGCATGTCCAGGATGCCGATGAAGACATCGAAGTCGAGTCTGCATAGCCTCGCATTCAGCTGCTCATTGACCCACGAGAACAGCAAGGAGTAAAGGGTCTTTGCTAGCTCGTCACGGTGTGCGGCCGCTCCTTCTGCGTCCAAGACGATGGTGCAGACCTCTCCACGTATCATCTTTGTCTTGTAGGTCAGAGCCTCTTCAAGAGCCTTGTCGCTAACACCCAGGAATTCAGAGACTATGGACAAGGTATCTTTGTTGCGCACAAAGACGCCCTCTGCAGAGCGAAGATGGTCCGCGTGGAAGTCGAGGTTGCCGAGATGCAAAACGGCCGCGAGGATCTGGCATATGGAGGCCACTTGACGCTGACTGAGGCTGACATTCTTGAAGGCCTGTTTGAGCTGTGCAAAGCGCTGGGCGTCTTCTGAAGATTGCCCTCTTTGCCTGCTCCCTCCAAGATAACGAAAGTCCGAGCCATCTCCCAGTCTTAAGTGCTGCTTCTCGTCAGCAGAGGCGCCAGCAACCATGGCGTACAGGATGTGGAAAGTGCCATCGCCACCGCAAGCCGCTACCAAGCGACTTTGCTCGAGAAAGTAGTCTAGCGTCTTCGAGCCCACCAGCTTACCGGCTTCGCTGAATTGTAGCTCCGTATACCGCCCGAATCGAGAAGCGTGACTATTCTCTCCGGTCCTGGTATTACCCATGCAATCGAGGATGAAGTCCGCCGAGGGAATCTGTGCGGCAAGCTTGGCTCCTTTCTTCCTCGGTGCGGCAGCAGCAAGGCTGACTAGCGCTCTTATAGTCAGGCGTCTCAGCTCACTCTTGCCAGACGAGGTCTCGCCACTGCAGCGGCGAATTAGGAAGATGGAGGATAGAAAAAAGGGTGATCAGTCACCATAGAGATGCCAGGCACCGTGTCAATGCGAGACTCACGCCAGTGATATGCTCTGATCTTGTCCTGTCCGTTGCATGTAAAGGTAGGCTTCGCAGGCCAGCTGGAAAACGTGAGGCGGCAGACGAGGTCCTCGCAGGCGGGGGTCGGTGGTCCTGTATTGTCTGGTGTATTCTCTGAGTGTGTCATCGCTGTTACGGTTTCCGCTGGCGGCGAAGGGATTGATCGAGACCAAGACCGAGTCCGAAAGAGATGTGTAGGTCAAGGTGGAGAAGAAGCGATCCCGAAGGGTCGTGAAGATGGAGTCTTGACTCAGCACAGGAAGAGAGCTGAGGCGGGAGACTTGCTCAGCTGGTATCGCGGCAGTCTCCATCGTGTGGTGGGCACTGTCTTGAGCAGCAGAGGCTGGTAGAGTGAGGGGAGGGGGGGATCCCAACGGATGAGGGGGATTGATGATTGAGGAATAATGCGACCAGGCGTTCGTGCGGAGAGAGGGTTGGCCAGCACCCGTCTGTGTAAGAAGGGAGGGAGGTGCCAGTGCCAGAGGGAGGTCTAAGGAAGGTGGCCGGCAGCGCTTTTGCGGTCAGAAGAGTCGAGGGAAGGAGGATGGGATGGCATGGAAGAGTAGGACGAGGCAGGTGTGAAAGGTTATACGGTCTTGCAGTACGTCCGCTTCTGTACGCCCCTGTCCCCATCCCCCGGCGATGCTTGCAATTCGAGGATCACTGTCCCCCTTGCTTCCTCGTAGGCGCCGCACGGCTGCAAGCTGCTGCACCCTGATCCTTCTCGGCGTCTCCACTGCCACCGCTCTTCGCCATGCGCCGGCCGTCGTCGTATTTCCGAGGTCACGTCCGGCGGTGAGGGTTGGAGCTCCGCTGCACACACAGGGACCAACACCTCGGCTCGAAGCACTCGCCCCCAGCCTCGCATTCCAACTCCGCCAGATGCAACAAACGCCTTTCGAAGGCCGCCGCCGGCGCGATGATCATCACTCACTCCTCTTCCTGCAACTCACACCCTCATCTCCCACTTCACGCACAGCTCCATGATCTGAGGAGCCGCTGCTCCTGCCGCTATAGACTCGTATACCCACCTGAACCCCGCGCCTCTTTGACGATCACACTCACGACCACCTTACGACCTACCAAAAATTGCGCGACGTGTTCTCGCCGCCAGAAGATTATTGCAGACGGCTTCACCACTCATCCGAACACAGCAGCTGTCACAACTTTGAATCGCCCATCCTGCAGGCACTCTTTTCTTCGAGGCGCTCTCGAGGCGCTCGAGGGAGTTGCAGTGGCGACTGAGCTAACATGACGTCTGGCGTGAGGGACCGATCTACGCCTACCAGTGCGCTTGCATCGCGTCGCAGCGTCCTCGTCAGCACTACGCCGACTGCAGGGCGTCCCCTCGCTCGACTTCCGGCCGTAGGCGCGGAGAGAGGGAAAGTAGCGCGGGTCACCCACGCAAGCAAACAAGATGTCAGCAATACCGTCGCAACTGTCCGTACACCCGGTGGTCTGGCTGCTAAAGTGACGGAGCTGGTGCCGCAGAATGCTCAAGCGGCAGCAGAGCAGGCTTGGCGCGATGATCTCAGGTCACTCTGGGGCGATACAGAACAACGATTCCCGGACATCGCATGGACCACGAGGCCACCGGCAGGGGAGACTACTCCAGGCCCCATAGGCAGCAGTGCACACCGGTCGGCAAAAGGACTTCACGAGGAGATATACGCACATACAGGTCCGTTTGCAACTTGCCAGGAAGATAAGCCTCTATACATCTGACTGACCCGAGCAATCTTTCCTCTTGACTTGGTAGCTCTTTTATGGCTCAGAGCACCGCGTACATTCGAAGACAAATACTTCCGCTTGCCAATCGCCGAAGCGCATGTCTGCGCGCCGAGCTCCTACTCAGGGACTCAGCTCGCGGTCACTCGATCCAGTAATTCTGTCTCGAGATCAGGCCTCAACTTACGGACCCGACCCAGTCTGGCTAAGATTGGCTCCGAGGAGCGCAAGAACTTGCCGATCAAAGACGTGAAACCTTTCAGTCTGCCAGCTGGCGATATCGTGCAGCTCAAGCAAGTCCTCAAGTACATCTACACTGCTGAACTCGACAGAGAGTCCGAGCCGTTATCAGGGGCTTTGTCGCTCGAAGATCAGCCCATACCGGAGACTGGAGACAAGCGTCTTGAGCGCTTAAGGGCTGACTTACTTCGAGTCTGGAAGAGTCGGCAAAGTGCAGACATTGTTTTGCGGGTAGGTGGAGACACAGATTCGAACGGTCCTGGCAGCGCAGAAGCCTCACCACGCCGGAGCTCTTTTGGTCTCGGTGAGCCATCCATATCTACTGTCTCCCTGCCTATGAACGATGCCGAGGAGGAAGAGCTCCGAGGCTGCTTCTCTGCGCATCGGGCCATCCTCGTGTCCCGGTCGCCCTACTTTGCGTCGCAGTTCCTGTCGGGATTTTCGGACGCTAAAGCGACAGAAGTCAACCTTCCGACGCCTCCCTTCACATCCAGCGCTCTATACTTCACCTTGGGCTTCATCTATGCCGGCAAGCTGGACTTCTCTTCCAGGGCGTTTGACTTGACGATCGCATTCCAGATCTGGCGAGCAGCAGCATACTTGCAAATCTCGTCCCTGACAACTGTCGTGAGTAGTCTAATCTACCATGACTTCTGTCACAAATTCACATGCTCGCCGCCATGTGCCCTCTGCCTGAAGAGAGTGCCAAGAGCTTTGGCCTTTGCGGCTGCTTCAGACGTCGGAGATGTGGTCTTGATTGAGCTAGCAAAGAAGGCTCTCTCTGGCCGACACTTTGGTGCTTACTGGGCGCGAGAGGTGGGCTCGATGACGAGCGCACTCAGAACATCCATCGTGGAGTCCATAAAGCGGACGATCAATCTCGAGCCGGGAGCCTGCGTTTGGGTGTTGAAGCAGATCATGGAGGTCTCGGCACGACTCGAAGCTACACGCAGCCACAAATGGACAGACAATGTGCGAGAGATGGTGGACAGCGTCGAGCACCACATCAAGTTGCGATTGGAGACTACGTTTGGGGACGTCATTGGCAGCGAGGACTGGGAGAAGCTCGTCAACGGAATCGGTCTGCTCACCGACGTGCTCGATCGGATGTTAGACATGCTCGTCTCTGCTCTACAGGAGAACACGGCTGCCCACACATATCAGAGACTTGTCCGAGATGTTCTCGAGAAAGGCGAAGACGGACTGGAGGCTGGTGCTTGCCGAGATCGAATAGAAGCTGCTCGTTGCCGAATACTGGCATATCTACAGAAGCGTTGGATCAATATACGAGCTCTTCGCGGCTTCAATGAAGCTGAAGACTGGGTACTGAAGGCAGTAGCCGATGGGCTCGACATCATGCCCAAGGATCTTCTCCTTAAAGAAGGTACAGCAAAGACGTTGCGTGCAACTACAACAAAATTAGATTCGAAGACCACCACACGAACGGCTGTGCCTAGCCGAACAACAGCCACGCAAGCTCCGTTAAGACCCACAGCACCAGTCAGATCAGTAGTGGCACCGACCAGTAGAGCCAACATCGCCGCATCTAGCACTTCCAGAGCGAGCACAACAGATCGTAGTGCAGCGACTCGTCCAGCTGTACCGGCATCTCGTATTCGCGCGACACCAACTTCCACGTCGTCTGTACGTTCTGCGACCCCATCTCAGCCGGCTGTCGGCAGCTCCACCAGAGGTACCACGGCTTTGAATCGTGGCCAGACTGCTCTGAACCGTGGTCAGAAGACTACGATTGCCACAGCGCCCTCGGCACAGACAAGGACCGCTCTGCCAGCCAGAGCACCGCGCACAGCTGACCCGCCCAAGGCTCAGGAGACTTTCACGAGACGGGAAAGAACTTCGGGCACGCTGACGAAGCCTGCAGCCCAGTCGTCTGTGTCTTCACCAGCGCCCTGCCGCAGTCCTCAACAGAGACCAGATGTTGTTGTATGCCAAAGCCCCGCCGAATCTATGGAAGGGGCAGAGACACCACGGAGTCTGGTCGACTCCATCGATCAGCCCCCTTCCCCCAAAGGAAAGGAGACTACAACAGGATCCAGAGTGGCGCTTCTTGCTGCACGCTTTTCTGGTGACGGTCTACCCTCTTCCATGCCCGGCGATCAAAGGTCACGCAAGCTCTCCGCAGTTGACACTCCGCAGACTGTTGATCACAAATCTGTGATCAATGCAGAAAGCGGTCAAAAGAGCCAGACCGAGGAGTCAGGTATCGAGCGGAGTATCCTCCTACCATCAGATGCGACTGTGAACGCCGGAGAGAATAATCGTGACACTGCCATGTCTTCCCCAGTGCCCACTGCGGCGCTTGCTCTGCCCACTCCGTCAATGGCTATACCAGTGCAACGTCACAGCTCCTCGCCAGTTCGCTTTTTGCCGCAAAATTTGATGACTCCTACGCGGGCTGCCTCCGTGACCAACCTACTTGCTACCAGGGCATCTGTGCGCCGACAAGCGGGGCACAGGACAACATCTTTCAGCGTGCCTCCGGTGAGCGTATTGAGAGCACCAGAGCCGCCGGAAGCAGTACGAGAGGCTGCTCTAAGGATCACCGCAGCAAGTCCTCCGCCATTGGAGCAGCAGCCCAATCCTGAGGTGCGAGATGCAAGTGGCAGCGGCCCGGAAGGCAGTCCTCAACGAGCAGAAGAGCAGAGAGGATCTTCCTCGCCTTCAATCGAGAGCGCGAGGTGTCTCAACTTCGGTGCAGATAACGAGGAGACGACAGTGCGACAGCCAGCTGTGGCCGAAATTGTAGAGGCCACTTCTGCAGAAGCAGGGAAGACTCGGACGGAGACGGAGGACACTGACTTCGAAATTGCAGACCTGGGAAACAACCTGCTCCACCCAGTTGGCATCGGTCTTCCCTCGGAGGAGTCCAATTCGACGATCGAAGTCAGCGAAGTCGCGTCAACAGCAGCCTCTGGTCAAGAAAACGCAGAAGCGCAATCGCAAGTCGAAACGATAGCTGTAAGTCCATCGATCTTGTTGACTTGCGAAGCGTCAGACAAATCGCCAGAGCACTCGGAGTTGGCTCAGGAATCGCCAGCGTCAAACGTCACCCAGTACAAAGATGCTGATCTGAGTCTCCCGGAAACCGACACACAAATCATTGACAGCGATGAAGACGTCACCATTTCTGCGTCCAACTTGCACGGTTCTAATGCAGAGGCCATGGAGATTCTTGACGAGGGTGATACAATTCTCGCTCCGATCCTGGACGTCCTCGGAGGCGCCGATCTGACGCCTTCCGAGATGCAGACTTTGAGACGATCAGCGCGTACTCCGCCTCGTGCGCCGCGAGATCCACGTAAACCCGCTGACGAGCCGCGAACACCGCAAGCTCTCCGCACATTGAAGGCCTCAACCGAGGAGATCGATGCAACGCCTCGCAACAAGCCCTCTTTCACCTTTGGTCATGCCGTAGAGCCTGACTTGCCTCGCCTTGAGAAGTACGACTTCGAAGATGCTACTCCACTGCCGCAACGACGGGCTTCGGTGGCGTCTCCGATCGCGAGTAAATGTGACGTACCGGCCACGACCCTCTCAATCGGCATTCCGTGCATCGTGTGGCCCTCTCTGCCTGGCGCGCCTCCTCGAGCGAAGCTGCGAGCCCTGGTGAAGTACATTGGACCAGTCGACGGCTATGTCGGGACCATGATCGGAGTCGAGGTAGCCCTCCCCCTTCCTGAAGGGTTACGGACGGTACAGCATCTTTTCAACAGAGGTTCGGTCAACGGCAAGCAATACTTCAGTCTCGGACCGCCCGACGTGGCTAGCAAGAATGACGATGGACGGCATACCCCTACGAGCGACTCTGGCTATAGCACGAAGTTAGTGCAGGTGCAAGGCGAGTCGCTGCTTTCCGCACACATGCAGATGATGGCTCAAACAGAGAGGCAGGAGAGACGGCGCCGTATCGAGCGCTTGCAAGCTCATGTAGTGAGAGTCCTCTCGCCACAGGCAAGCATTGCGGCGTCAATAGTGGGCAGCCCAGAATCGCTCACGTTCGACGCTCGTGTTGAGCGGTCAACTTCCTCCGCTCTTTTGCAAGGCGTGACCAGTCGCTTGAGCCAGCGTAATGATGGAGAAGTCGACGACGCTAGCGGGACTTTGAGTGACGCCGAGCCGGCTTCCGATCAGTGGCACATCGCGCACGACCGAAGGAGCGTCTCGTCCTCTGCGGCCCTCCCGCTTCCCTGCGCAGCAGCAGTGCGCTCGGCTTCTTCCTCGCGAGTACGTTCCTCGAGGACCAAGAAGCGCCACAGTGCTCAGGTACGCAATCTATTTCCTTTCCCAAGCGACAGTCCTTCGACCACGAGGTGCTCCTCGCCTACGATGCTGTTCGGTAGCCGACATGATCCCTTTGGCAACTATGCTGCCAGTGAAATCGACTCACAACCACCATCTGCAACGGCCCAAATACAACACCGGCCATCTTTCACTGGGTCCCTGTATGCGCACTTTGCTGTTGCTGCACATCGTCGACCTTCGATGGCAGGTAGCGTCCAGTCTGCTGCGTCAGCGCGTCTCCTCTCGCCTCATCTGACGGGAGGCAGCTTTCACATGAGGTCTGCCTCCAGGTCGAGCAGTCGTCTGAGTTCGTCGACGGCAAGTGTGAATGGCGAAGGAGAGGGTTGGCTGGGCCTCTTTGTCACGCCCGAGCAGGTGCTATGGGTCTTTGACGACGTGTAGCCGGATCAGGCTGGCAAGGCTGGCGCGGCTAAGCATTTTCTCGAATCTCGCCTTCATTGCATTCCTCTTTCTCTTCATCATGTCACCTGACCTGTCATAATCTTTGATACCCCCACATTCATTCACTTCTTGACTTCATGTCACCTCGCTCGTATTGCGTTTTAGGTTCGGGCCGCGGGCCTGGGCCACCTGCGAGCTGGTCCCACCTCCGACGTGGGCGGAGACGCGCCTGGCTGCAATGTGGCGCCTTGACGGAAGCGGAAGCAGCTCACTCAGTCGTGCGGAAGTGTCAGTTCAGCCGAAAGCGAAACTGGACGCGGAAGATGGATGCTGACCACGGCTGCCCCTGTCCTCGATACCAGACCCCAGCAGCTGCAATCCATCTGTACAACAACCGTCACACTGGCGTCTAGAATCAGTCAAGTACGGCTGCCTCGTTGCGTTCCTTCTCTACCCCTCCTTCACCACGCCGTACGACCTATTCCTGGCCACTTTACAACACTCGCTCACACCACCTCCACTTGTCACCACTCTCGCACCATCATGTCCAGCTCGGAACCCACTGCCTCTGGCGGTGCCACCTCACAAACAACCTCGACACCAACGGTCCTCTCCTCTCCCCACCCTCAAGTGCGTTGCTTCTCCCGACCCTTCTCTCGCTTCGGCATCCTCCCCGTCGGTGGTCGCTCAACAGCAATCAAGCTTCAGCAGCCTCCCAACGAGAATGCCGTATGGGTCCTCGCCTCTACACCCTTGGACGAGCCGGTGAAGGAGTCACTCAAGGAGCTAGGAGGTGAAGTAAAATGGATCATTGCAGCAGATGCGGTACATTCCATGTTCACCGAAGAGTGGAGCAAGGCTTTTCCAGAAGCAAAGTGTATTGGTGTGGAAGGTCTAGATGCTAAACGGCCTAACATTTCCTGGGCGGGAATTTACGGGAAGGACCGAGAGGGGACAATGTATGGCTTTGAAGAGGAAATTCAAGCACGTTATTTCCCCACGTTTGCAAACAAGGACGTAGCATTCCATCATGTCGCTTCGCGCTCAGCAATCGTGGCGGATCTTCTTTTCAATCTTCCGGCAAAGGAGCAATATCTAGGCTCGCCAAGCAAGAGCCCTTCCTCCCCCGTACCCTTCCTCACGGGCATGGCAACCAAATTCAACCCCTTCCACGGGCTTCATCAGACATTCCTCTGGAACGCAGGCGCAGCAGCAGCCATTCCAGAGGCGTGCGTGCCAGAAGGGGTAAAGTTGTCCACTCCTGGTGGCTCGACGGAGGAGAGGAGGGCTAGGTTCGCAAAGGACGCAGAGATCTTTGCTGCTTGGGGAGCAGAGAGAGTCATTCCTTGCCATGGCGACGTCATCGAAGGGAAAGGGAGGGAAGCTTGGTTGGCGGCGTGCAAGAAGGTGAGTGCGAAGAGGGTGGGGAAAGAGGGAGGAAGTATTCTGCAGGCAGAACAGCCTTTTGCTGACCGTCTTGACCCTCATGAAATACTCTGCCTGCTTTCACTTCTCAGTTCCTCAGCCCCGAGGGCAAGTCTCTTTTCGAGAAGACGGCCTCCTCATAGAGTCAGCGAGCAAGCGCACTAGATCCAATAAGTGTTTGCGCTTGGTAGGCCAAGCTGTTTCTTTCTCCCTTGTGGTAACAATCAATGTCATCCACCTTACGACTGACATCCGCCAGACTATACGCCGGAGATCGGAGATCGGTAGTGAATTTCGTCCGGCGTGGCGATTGAGCTGGTGATGTTGATGGAGGTGGTATATTCGTATTACGTGCGTGATATGCTTGCTGCTTTGACTTCAGCAGAAACGATTGCAAAGGTGCGCGTATCACAGTGGGTATCAAAAAAATAGACAAGGTGGCCAAGACGGGAAGTGGATGTGAGCAAAGGTGTAGGGAGACTCTATGATCCTGCGCCGCTGAATTCTAGTCGATGGAGACGTCTGCGGCCCCAGTATTGCCAACCCAGGGCGCAGAGGGAGTGTGCGAGGTTTCCGCTTCGAGACTTTCATCTTCCTCGTCTTCATCTTCCTCATCGTCTTCGTCGTCGTCGTCGTGCCCCTCCCCTGAAGCAGTGCTATCATCTGCGGAAGCCGTCGATCCAGTCGTCGAGGTAGCAATCGAAGTGTCAACGGAGACGTCCCCTTCAACGTCCGCTTCCGCTCCATGAGTCGATTGAGCTTCTTGTGGAGAAGCTCTCAGCAGCTCTGCTTCGGGTACGACGACGGTAGCTCCGTCCTGCACCTCCTCCTCGGTAGCTGCGCTGTCGGTCAAGTCTGCTACGGAGGAGGCAAGAGAGGTGTCTGCTTGCCAGCTCGCGCTGGTATCTACTGTCTCTGCACCTCCGCCATGAGGTCCGACGTCGTCCGTTGATTCGCCAAGATTCAGGTCGCGCTCTTGCACCTCTCCTGCCGTGAGGACCTTGCTCTTCTTCTCCTCGGGGATGTACCGCGACAGGATCGCCTCTCGAGCCGTGTTGAGCATAGCGTCGATGAGATCTCTGCAGCGGATGTGAGCAGCCTCCAATTCCGGATCTTCCTTGGCTTGCTCATCTTCCTCGTCGTCTTCCTCTCCGAAGTAATCGTCATCCTCATCATCCGGGACCCTGTACCGGCTACCAGGACTGAGTGCGGCTGCGGCGCCTGCAGCAATCTCTCCCGGCCCAAGTGTCATGCCTCTTCCCTCTCTGATCCTCCTCTTGAGGTCACGCAACTCTCGCCCTTGACGATGCTTGGTCACTTCGAGTCCCGAATTGATGGCCATGAGGGACTTGTTTGTAATCTCCAAGTCGGCGATCTTGCGCTCTACGCGTAATTGGGCGTATTCGAGGGTAAGGGCATTTGACGAGGAGGGATGTTCACTGGTCGGCGATAGGAAGGCGGAAGATGCGAGGCCTGAGGCAGATGTTTGACTTGCGCGCCGGGGAAAGCTGAAGCTCTCTACGGTCGGAGGTGCAGACTGTTGGCCTTTTGTGGAAGGGGTTCCCGGAAGAAGCCGCGGCCTAGCAACGTAGGAGCCTGATATCGGTGTTGTTGGCGTGTGTGCTGAGTCTCGCGACGAGCTTGGATTCATTGCGACAGGTGTAGCCAGCGTGGGTCTGGTAGAGCCTGTCCTGTTTACCGCCTGGCTCCCCACATGCTGTTGGGGAGTCTGCAGGTTCGGTGAGGCTGGACCCGAGACGCCACTGTTCATGGAGGAGGATGAGCGACGAGAGGACAATCCCGGAGTACTCGCAGCCTCTGCTGTCCCGGCACTGCTTCGCATGGCGCGTCTCTGTGGCGGATCAGAGGGTGAGAGCAGGGGTCTATCTGGTGTACTGCCCCACTCGGTTCGGCTTCGATCCCTCGTAGGAGGAAAGTAGCTGCCGCTGCCCGACGCTCTGCTCAAGGCAGACGAGCTGGGAGAGGGGGACCTTGACGGACTCGCGCCAGTGGCGAGCGTGTTGATAGCCGCATGCGAGCCAAAGGAAGTGAAGGGACTGCCGATTATGCTACTTCCTCCTGGTCCGCCAATGTTGACTCTTGCCATTGTGGGTGTGGCGTTCAAGGAGGCAGCGGTAGGTACGCTCTGGCTCGTCTTTGCACGTGTATGACCTCGTACTGGAGAGGAACGACCATTGATCGGAGGCGAGCCGAGGACGCGAGGGCTGTTGCTACCATACGACCCATTCGCCAAAGAAGCTAGATTTGAGGTTGTTGCCGAAGAAGGGAACGGGTTTGGGCTCCCTGAGGACTCAATGCCATGATCTCTGACTCTGCGCACTGATCCGCTCCTGACAGTGACATTGGGCGGCACCTCCCCACGGTCAAAGGGCGAAGAGCGGGCTTCCGGACTGCGTCGACCGCCGATGGCTGATGCGGAACTACCTCCCGCGATACGAGGTGTGACGGGGGCCGAGGAGGTGGCTACGGCTGGAGAGGCGATTGACTTGCGTAGGAAAGGCGATGGCGAGGCGGTCGTGCTGCTGATGCCTCCTGTGCTCGTAGCCGCCCTCTTCATGACGGGGGGTGTGGCCTCGTATCTACTGTCATGCGAAGTCGATTCTGCTCCCCCTCCCCCTCCTGCTAGCGTAGCCATGTCCACCTTGGCTCTACCGGATGAGCCTGGTGTCGCAGCATGGCCGCCAAGACGCCGTACGGGCGTGGATGTCCTGCTACCGGTCGAAACGCGAGCAGTCTGTGAGACTGAGGATGGCGAGCTCTGTTGCTGTTGATGGTCATGGGAGAGGTCTATGCGGCCCATGACCTGCGGATAGAGGAGCAGCGAGGCGGTGAGGCAGCATGTCAGTGGTGGATGCAAGGCAGCAATGGCTGCGTGTTGACCTTGACTTACCTTCCTCTTTGCTGAAGGTAACGACATCGCCGCTTCGCCATCCCGTTCAGCTCAGTGGATGTGTACGATACGACGTTGAGGGGAGCTAAGGAGGGGAAGAGTCGCTCACAAAGGCAAGCGACAGGAGATGGATGGTGACGATGGTACAGAGTAGAGTGTATGCACCCTGAGGCCCGGATCAACTTCACCATCGGAACGGAGACGCGTTTGTGCCCTGAAGCTCGGACCACAACGCAGGGCGGGGCGGCGCGACGCCGGCCAGTCCGCCTCCGCTCCGTAATGGACTTGGTGGTGATACCATCACGCTGCCCCTTGCCGCCTTTCCACCTTCGCACCGACTAATATCCCAAGGCAAGGAGGAGGCAGACAGTCACAAACATCCTGCCAAGGATCATTCGACTTCCTCCTCTTGGCTCCTGACACCTCGCCTCCCCACCTTCTTACCAAGCACATCCGGTCTATCTCCTCAACTCTTTCCTTGGCTTACACCCTCTCCCTTCCCGTTGCCAGACCAGTAGCATACACCCTGATTTCGGTCGAAGACGGGGCGATCATCGCTACATCAAGCTCACAGCCAGCACTCTGATACCCTGGAGGTAACTAGCAACTTGGCTCCGGTCCTCACGGAGAAGGCTAGCGAAGGTCCTCCGGCCGCGAGGCGCACTTTCAGCCTTGTGTGTCTCCGAGTTCTGAGCCGGAAGTCAAGGCGAGCTCGTCGTAGCTAGCCACCTGTCAGTCAAGATGTCCAGCAGTCTGACGGAGCGCCAGAAGGAGGAGCTGTGAGTGGACTGGAATCCAATTGTAGCAGTCTCGTGTACGGCAAGCCCTGACCAGCCTTCTGATCCCCCCCTGTCGGATAGACACAAGTCCCTGCTAGACTACTTTCAGACGCAGGGCTTTACATCTTCCTTCGATGCTCTCAAGCTGGATGCTGGACAGGAGGGCTTCACAATAGACCCAAAGGCCAAATATGCGGGTCTATTGGAGAAGAAATGGACCAGTGTGATCAGATTGCAGAAGAAGGTGAGGAAGACAGAGCCGCTACGGAGGACTTCTGCCCTGTCTGGAGCTCGACTGACGTCTCGATATATATGACTCATCTCATCTTACGACTCTCCTCAGATAATGGAGCTCGAGACTCGCAACGCTCAACTCACCGAAGAATTAGCAGCATCACCAAGCTCGCGCCGTGCGGCTTCTCTGACAGATTGGGTACCACGGAACCCGCCTCGTCATACACTGCAAGGTCATCGGTCACCCATCACAAGAGTAGCCTTCCATCCAGTCTTCAGTCAGATTGCCAGCTGCTCAGAAGATGCGACTATCAAGATTTGGGATTGGGAGACAGGAGAATTTGAGAGGACACTGAAGTCGCACACGAAGCCGGTTCAGGACGTTGACTTTGATTCGACAGGGAATCTGCTAGGTGAGTATGTGTTAGCCCGAGAGACTCGATCATTGCAACGGCATGTAACGCTGACCTGCTTTCTACTTCCTGTAGCTTCTTGCTCTTCTGACCTCACCATCAAAATTTGGGATACCGCTAACCAGTGGACCTGTGTAAAGACTTTCCACGGCCACGACCATTCCATCTCCTCCGTCCGCTTCCTTCCTGGCGACGACTACCTTATCTCTGCCTCGCGGGATCGCACCATTCGAGTCTGGGAGCTCTCGACCGGCTACTGCTCCAAGACACTAGAGGGCCACTCCGACTGGGTGAGGTGCGTCACGCCTTCTTCTGATGGCCGACTGATCGGCAGTTGCGGCAATGATCAAACGGGCAGGATCTGGGATCGTAGCAAGGGGGAGACAAAGGTGGAGCTGAGGGGCCACGAGCATGTAGTCGAGGCTATTGCCTTTGCTCCAGTTGCGGCCTACGCAGCGCTCAGAGAATTGGGAGACGTCAAGGCGCCAGCAGCCAAAGGCGCAGACACTACACCTGGTCAATTTGTAGCTACAGGAGGAAGGGACAAGGTCATCAAGATCTGGGACACTTCGACTGGGCAATGCATTCGTACCCTAGTGGGCCACGACAATTGGATCAGAGGCGTGTGCTGGTCGCCCAATGGCAAGTTCCTCCTCTCCTGCTCGGACGACAAGACGGTGCGCGTATGGGACCTCAAGGCGGGCGCGAGGTGCAGCAAGACCATCGACGCCCATCAGCACTTTGTCACTAGCATCACCTGGGCCAGAGCCAAAACAGAGCCGACGGCGGCAGCTCTACCGAAGCAAGACGGACCCGTTGGGTCTCCCTCGGCCTCGAGATTGACAAACGGGGCAGCGGCAGCAGCAGCGGCGGATGCATCGAAAGTTGTCAATGCCGTGGTGACTACGAGCGTGGATCTGACCATCAAGGTCTGGACACCTTGAGAGCAGAGCGGATACTTGATGCCTCGCATCGACTCGCCTGCTGGGACCCATCTCCCGTGCGGTACCACGAGGGGTCTCATCACAGCTATACCTTCCCTCCCTTGTCAGTGTCTCGTCTCTTTCTACTTCGAGTCATTGACTTGCACTCCGCAACACACACTACACGATTTTCTTTTATCGATGATACCTCATGTGCACACACTCTTTTTTCTTTTCTTTTTCTGCTCTCAATGAAGACGCATTCTCGAGCGAGAGCGACCGCGAGAGCGAGACTACATAGTTTCTGCGTGGAGGTATGAGGATGACGTTGACATAGTCCAAGATGGCGAAGGGACTACCTCTGCGCACGCCGTGCCGGCGGGGGAGAAGGCGACCGGCTGTACGACCTCGACCTCGACCTCGACCTCGACCTCGATGATCCGCCAGAGTAGGACCGACTGGTCCTCTTCTGCCCCCTGGTGCCAGCAACGGGGGTGATCGACCGTGTCTGCCTGCGGGGGACCTTACCACTCTCTCGATAGCGCTCTCGTTCTTCTTCATCGTCTCGAGCTCGTCTCCTGACCGGGGTAGGCGAGCGCGAGCGTGATCGAGACGGGGAGCGAGAGGAGTATGAGCGACGTCGCCGCGACCTGAATTGCTCATCAGCGGTGTCTCGCCTCGCGTACCTGTCCTCTCTATCACCCTCCTCTGTGCGACGTCTTGACGAGAAAGGGGCAGCGGGAGTGGCGTCCCGCGAAAGACTGCGAGAGGGAGTTTGAGAACGCGAAGGGGAGCGAGACCTGGATTCCGACCTCGATCTTGACGTTGACCTTGAGGATGCAGGAGAATAGGATGGTCGAGACCTGTTCCTGCCTCTGCCCTTCAGCGGAGGAGTGATCGATCGGGTGTCTCTGCAATATCTCTTCCTACTCGAATCAGCATAATCGCCTTGTCTGCGAGCAGAAGTGTATCTCTCTTCGTCCTCTTCCCTTCTACGCCTTCTTGACGGTGGGGTGGGAGATCGAGAAGGCGAGAGAGAGCGCGAAGGGGAGCGCGTATAATCTCTGGTCCTACGACTGCTAGAGATAGGAGCGCGTTCTGGCGAGTCCCTTCTACCGATGCGACGGCCATCGTAGCGATCCTCGTCATACTTCTGGGCACTGCGTCGTGAGTAGCCGTATTCGTCGTTCCTCCCTCTTCTGTCGTAGGCCGGACGGTCCTGCTCGTATCTTGGCCCGCGGTCCTCGTACCTTGGACGAGAGTATGAAGAAGAGGCAGCATACCGGTCTGGATCTCGTGAAGCATGAGGTGCTGGGGGTCCACGTCCGGAGCCTCCCCATCCAGAGTCTTGCACCCTCTCCGTAGCATTTCCTCTTTTGTCTCTGAACTCTCTTCCACCACCTCGTTGCCCTGCAAATGCCGGCCTTGGCGGAAGAGCAGCAGGAGGCCCACGTCCCATGGCAGCAGCCCCACCAGAGATCCCGCTAGCTCGAATCGCAGCCGCGTCCCTCTCCCTCGCTGCGCGCATCTCTTCCTTCTTCTTGTCGACGAACTGCTGAGGAATGCCGCCGATAGACTCTTGCGCAGAGAGAAGCAAGTCCCATAGCTCTGCCATGAATTTCGGGGTGGACGACTCGAGAAAGCCTGTCAGGGAGAGCTGCAACTGACGTGGATTCGGATGCTGTGGGCAATATGACAAGATACAGAGTGAGAATGAGGCTGATTACTTCAGACCCATGCTGTACTTCACTCACCGGCTGATTCTCCTCACTCTCCAGCATGCCCATAACGTACTCTACCACCACCTCGTCCTCAAAGCCGAGGAGCTCCTGCGTCTTTGACTCCACCCAAGGCTTCATCACCTCCAGATTGACCTTCCGCAGGTCCACCTTCTTCGAGTAGGATGGTGGGAAAAGCTTGGAACTCTCTAGTCTGTGGGCGATGTATGTAAAAGAGTGTTCAGTATGAACGAGTTTGCATACGAGCAGTCGGGAGAGCCCAGGACGGAGCATATACTCACTGCTTGATCAACTTGCGATCCTTGTTGCCGAAGCGCGAGTCCTGGTCCGCGGAGACGCCTCGGTACCCTGCATCGCCCATCTTATCGAGGTGATGTGTGTGATGGGACGAGAAGAGGTTACAACAGGGAAGTATTGACGCAGAAAGCTGACCTGGACGATGATGTTGGTTGCGAAGGATGTAGTCTCGTCGTAAGGGACTTTTGTTCCGATCCGCCCTTCCGTCACGGCAGTGGAGAAGCGCACAAGCAACACCTTCCACCATCACCAGAGCGAGCAACACCACGGTCTCCACTACTACGGCTGGCAAAGGTCACAGCGGCGATGATGACGACGACCACACGACCTTCACTGCTGCTGCTGCTAGTAGCGGCGCTATTGTTCCTCTCTACTCCGGCTCTGGGTCAATTCTTCAACTTCTTCAATCAGCAAGGCGGACAGGCGCGTGAGCAGGAGGCCCCTCCCGTGAGTAAGATCCACTGATCGCAAAGAGAAAGCAGTCACTGAATCAGAAGTACTGTATTTGCATTTCATTGACTGCTTTACTAATTGCTTTCTCTGCAGAGCGGCGATGCATCCTGGTTCGAAGCTCGTACGGAAGCCTCACAATGTCCACACTACCTCTGCCCACGAACTCTCAGCTGCGTCTCCCACCCAAGCAAATGCCCCTGTCCTTTCCCACAACAGAAGCGGTGCGCCTATCCAGACCCAGTCACCGGCAAACTCGAGGATGGAGGAGCATTCTGCGTTCAGCAGGAGGAGGGTTGTGCAAAGGTAGAGGCGGCGAGGGGTCAGTGGTGGCAGTGGAAGGAGCTGGATAAGGACCTGATGAAGGGGCTGTAGTGAGCGGGGGGGCACTTGGGCAGATAGCGTCAAAAGCTGGAACCGAACGGGAATTTGTCTATATCCTGCTGTACGCTGAGTCGATTGATGTACGAGTCGAGCTTCTCAAGCTCATCCATGAGGCCATCTTGTGGTGGAGCGGCGACTGGCTCCGTTGTGATATGAGAGCAAGGACGGTGATGAAATCTCTAGGGTATGTATATTGCTAGTTTGATCTCCTCGCTTATGATGGGCAAGTGGCCAAGTGGTAAGGCGCTCGCTTTGCATGTTTCTGATCTTGAATTGCGAGAGATCGAGGTTTCGATTACCTTCTTGTCCAATCATAAAAATCTTTTGTTTTGGCGCGGCCCGGGTCAAAAAACCGGCGCCATCATTTTGTAGATCTCCAGAATAGTTCACTCTGTCTTTTTGCTGCACAGCATTACGCGGAAGAAAATGGGATTGTAACGATTGAGAGTGTGAAGCAAGATAGAGGTATCACATAGAGGAAGGAGATGTAACGTGTGGAAGCGAAAAGAATGTGCTGACTCAGTGAAGCGAACGTAGGGGATACCACCACTGCTCTCTTCTTCCCTGCATCACCTCGTCGACCTGACCGAGCCATACTGATCCGTTACCCGCACAGATCGCGGGCCTGCCGTCTTGGGAGTCAATGTCTCTTCCCCTGCCGCCTCAGAAGCACGTCTGTTAGCAGGAGTAGGGGCAGGGAGATCAAATAGGCTCGCAAATGTCTCGCCCGTCTTGTTGTGCGTGTCTCCCTTCTGAGCTCCTCCTTTTGCTCGGGGCGTATTGAGATTCAGAGGACCCAATTGCGGTGGTGGTGAGCTGGTGTCTCGCTCTCGCATGGCCTGGTTGGTAGAGTGGGTGCTGCTCGAGCTACCACGAGGGCGATTGGAGACGTTGCTCAGCCGACTTGAAGGGCGCGAGGTTCCCGGTCCGCTCATGGAGAAGTTGCTGTGGCGTGGAGTATGGGGTCCAGCGGCACCAGCGACGCCCAGACTGCTGCCGGGTCTTCGATGCGTCTTGCGCTGCTGATACTGCTTGTGTGCAAGAGCGCCTACATCGTGCGCTCCACCGCAGCAGGCTCGAACATTGTCCAGACCCTCGAACCCTTCACGCTCATTCTCCTCGAGCATCTCTTCTGCCGTCTTCAGACGCTCACCGGTGACGGGATCCAAGGCGCCGGTACGACCACCGGCACTGCTGTTGCGAGATCGACGTCCGTCCACTCCAAAGTCATTGGCCGGACCCCCTCGGGACTGCTGTTGGAGGTACTCGCGCGCGGCAGTGTCACGTCGCTTGCTTCGGTAAGAACCGGCAACGGATCCCTCGGCCGCAGAGCGCCCCTTGGGCGTAGCATCGTTATCTTGCTGCTGGCTCAAAGAGTCGGTGGACTTCAGTCGGCCCAGAGTAGAGAGACTTCGGCCAGGGGAGGCAAGCAGACGCGAGAGTGAACCGCGACGTCGCGTTCCTGTGATCGAAGGAGTGGCTGCAGTCTCAGCTACTACAGTGGTGTCTGCAGCAGCCGAATCCATGTCGCCTCGGTTGACGAGGTAGCCCAAAGCATTGAGCCAGACGTCGTGGCGCTCCTTGTTCTCAGCTGTGACCTTGATGTCTCGAGCAGAGGTCTTGATGATGAGTGACAGGTGGTACAGACCAGGTGGGCTCGTGTTCGGATCTTCGACTACGGAGACGTCTTGGATGCAAGCAGCCTTGCTGACTCCTTCGGTCGCCTTGTCCCCACCTGGATCAGTCGCCGTCCAGTAGATCATCTTGGTGTAGGGATGGACCCAGAAGTATCGGCGGTGTCTGTTGTCGGAGAGGCCGCCCCTCACTGCTCGCCGTGTGTACTTGTAAAGGTACTCTCCAATCATAGTCTGTGTAATAGCTTGGATGATGACCGGATCAGTCGCATCGGTGTCTGGAACCATGTTGGAGGCACGTCCGCTTCTTCGAGATGGTCGAGGTCGGCCAGTCAAGGTCTCGTCACCGGGGTGCTCGTGTGCATTCGAACTCTGGTAGTCATTCAAGGAGGTCTGACTACTCATGAGCGAAGTCGCGTCCGATCCCATGGATGTTCCAGACGGGCGACGGTACTTCTGAGGCCTATTGAGAAGGTAGCCTGCAGTGTTCGAATCGACGCTGCGTCCGTCATCTGCCATGGTCATCCTACTTTCAGGCCTTCGGTAAGAGCTGGGAGGGCCACCTGCATTGGACATTCTCGAAGACGGCCGAGAAGGTTCCCCCGGGCTGCCAGGGACGATAAGGGATCGGTTGTTGCCCAGGGAGGCTCGAGCGATCAGCTTCGGAGGTGGAGGAGACGTGGGTCGCATAGGGGCGGAGACTTCAGCACCGCTCTCTTGCGAAGTCGGAGGCGGTCCGGAAGGAGGAGGCGGGACGGCCAGAACGGGCGGCTTGCTAGTGTCTGGTCGGGTAGCAGCCGGGTCAGAGGCTGAGCGACGCTGGAGAGCGGCATTGACGTCGTCAACACTGTACAGCGCAGGGGCAGGCTGGACTTCGGCTCCCCGATCACTGGCACCGGATTGGGGAGCATAGCCACCTAGAACGGTGAGGCCGCCGGCTCCAACAGCAGTCTTTCCTGGCCGAGCGACATCAATGGCGCTCGGGCGAAGCATGAGCTGCTCCTGCTGAATGCGAGCCCAATTCTCGTCGTCCGTCTGAATACCAAACTCTCTGAGGTCGGCTAGAATGACCCTTCGCACACCGAACTCCGGCTCATTCTGCACCTCGACTACCGGTTGAGGGGTCACATCTCCTGATCTTGCGCTTGCAGCCTCGAACCTATCGTCTACTGCATCGGAGAAGTGATCATGGCCATCCATCGAGGGAGGTTGCGACCAAGCGCCATCGGTAGCTAGCGCTTCCGTCTGCGCCTGCACTTCGCGACGCTGCATCTCCTCTGCCAAGTGCTGTTGACGCAGGGCCTCGAGTTCCGAAGCAGCAGCAGCGAGAGCGGCTGTATGCGCGTCCCTTGCTTCGGCCAAGTTTCTTGCATTCTTCTCGCTATCAGCAAGCGCCGCCGCAAGCATTCGTCTGGCCTCGGCGAGTTCCGCTGCTGCCGACCCTTGCAGGTCACGAAGCTGATTTGTCTCAGTCAGGTGCTGTTGACGTAGTGCCTCGAGCTGGGTAGCAGCAGTCGCCAGAGCAGCAGTGTGTCCGTCCCTTGCCTCCTGCAGGCCTCGAACGTTCTTCTCGCTGTCAGAGAGCGCTGCCGCAAGCTGACGTTTAGTGTCGGCAAGCTCTACAATTGATGGAACCTGCGATTCTCGAAGCTGAGCCAGCTCCGTCAAATGCTGTTGACGCAGCGCCTCAAGCTCGGCAGCAGCTGCTGCTAGAGCGGAAGTGTGCTTGGTCCTTGCTTCTTCTGATTCTCGCACGTTCTTCTCACTGTCAGCAAGCGCTGCTTCCAGCTGACGCTTCGTGTCAGCGAGCTCCACCATGGAAGGTACTTGCGATTCACGCAGTTGCGCCTGCTCCGTCAGGTGTTGTTGACGTAGCGCCTCCAGTTGTGCGGCAGCGGCAGCTGAAGCAGCAGTGTGTGCGTCTCTCGCCTGCTCCAAGTCTCGTGCGTAAGTCTCGCTGCCAGCGAGAGCCGCTGCAAGAAGACGCCTAGCCTCAGCCAACTCGGCAGTCAAGGTTTCCAGCTCTGCTCGCAGACGCTGCAGTTCGGCACGAGCCTTGATGACTTGCTCGTCTCGTTCCTTGAGCGCAGCTCCATAAGCAGCATCGCGCTGACTCAGGTAGGAGTCGTTGGTGGAGTGAATGTCCTCGATCATGTCTTGATGTTCGCGCTCCTTCTCCTCCAAAGCCTCCTCTAGAGCTCGCTTGTACCTTCGCTCACGCTGTGCGAGCTCTTGCTGATGGACGTCGTCTCGCTTCTCAGTCTCGCTCTTGTACAGCTTCTCACGCTCTGCAAGCGCTGCTCGATGCTTGGCCTCAGCCTCGCCCAGAGCGGATGTGTGATTGGCCACGTGATCAGCGAGGACTTGAGTGTGACGAGAGCGGGCTTCGGCCATGGCTCCCTCGTGCTGTTCCTTCTGTGAAGCAAGCGCGGCAGCCAGAGCTGCAGCGTGAGAGGCCATCTTCTCGGAAAGAGAGGCCTCGTGGCCCTGCTCAAGTTGTGTCACGTATTCAGCTGCTTTGTCGTCCCTGGCGTGCAAAGCTTGTGCATGCGCGGCAGCGAGCTCGTCCAAACGGCTCTTGTGCTGGAGAGTGAGAGCAGCGACGGCTTCTTCATGCTCTCGAGACAGCGACTCCATGTGTACCTTGTGGCGGTCACGGACGTCAGTCATCGCCTCGTCGTGCCTTGACTGGTGAGCTGCTTGCAAGGACGCCACGACGTCTTCATGTCGAGCCTGGTGATCCCTCTCGAGAGCGGACAGAGCTTGCTCATGTTGAGCTTGCAGAGTCTGCTGAAGGGCGAGCAGTGTCTCTTCGTGCTGAGCCTGCTGTGCTGCAAGAGCAGGGGTGACGAGGTCCGGTAGATCCTCCGTCTGCACCCCCTCTTCGCTCAACTCTCGAGCCATCTGTGGAGCAAGGCTGACTTCAGGCGCAGGGAGAGAAGCAGTGCTTTCGTTGGCCGCGTCGTTGAAGTCGTTCAGCTCATTGAGTTCATCAAGCTCGTCGCCCAGAGCAGCGGCCGGGACAACGTCAGAGACCACCCTTTGCCCAGCGCCAGCACTACGACGCGACGTAGGAAGACGCTTGACGGGTTCTTCGACGCTCTCATCGTCCTCGTCGCCAGGAAGGGACACGTTAGTCGAAAGAGGGCTGTTCGTGCTAAGTCGATTGATGGCCCGAATAGTGGAGCGTCGGCGATCCTTCTTTCGAGCAGGTCCAGCACCGCCGCCTTCATCATTGTCGACGCTCTCATCATCTTCGAAGCCAGATCCAGATGCGTCCTCGTATGACTCTTCACCAGCCTCGCTGACCGTTTGAGCGCTGAGGGAAGGTGTGAGGCCGAAGCGACTCGCAATGTTGGGCCTCGTGGAGCTCTTGGGGATCCTACCGCCCTTGCCCTTTGTCCTAGCACTGGATGCGATATCGACCCAGGCCTCCTCGGCAGCGTCGTCATCACTGCTTTCCACGTCGGACCATGCAGGTGCGTCAAGACCGGCCTTATTGAGCAGACGACGGAGAGTCTCGACTTGTTCTCGTAGCTTGCGCTTCTCTGCCGAATCCTTGCCAGTCTTCTTCTGGGCCAAGGCGAGCTTGCCTCGCAGGTCAGTGACCTCGCGGTCACGTGCCGTGTTTGCCATCCCTGTGTGCTCTTCGGTGTCCTCGGAAAAGTCCCCTGCGTTCTGAGCGCCAGCCTTACCACCTCCACGTGCCAGTACAGGAGGCATGACGCTGTCAGTAGACTCGTCGCCGGCCAAGGTATTGTCGATGCTGAGCATGCCGCGACTGCCGCTGTGCGACATGTTGGCCCTCTCCAAACGAAGAGCTTCTGCCTTGTACTTCTGCAGCTCCGCCTGCAAGTCGCCCTGTTCGCGAAGATAGCTCGCCTTGTCCTTTCGTGCGAGAGCGACCTCGGTCTCCCTCGTACTCTTGAGGGCTTCCAATTCAGCTGTCTGCCCCTCGATTTGAGCCTTCCTCTCATCTGCCGTCTCCCGTACCTTCGCCAGCTCTCGAGTGACTCTTGTTCGCTCGCTCTCTAGCTTCCTGACAGCAGCCCTCTCTTCCTCGAGTTGCTCCTCGATCTGTTGGCCCCTCACTTGCAGATCCCAATTCTCTTGCTTGAGAGCGTCTTCCTGCTCCATGAGAGACATTGCCTTTGGCCTCCACAGGCCCAGCTCCTCATCAGCCTTCTTCGCCGTCTCCTCGTGGGCCTTCATCTGCTGTTCGCGCTGCAGTAGGAGAGCTTGCAGGCGCCGGACTTCATTCACGAGACCTTCCTGTAGCTGGTTGACAAGATCCTTGTCATGAATGCTGGAAGGGGCAGCGGCATTGCGGGCTCTCCTGTCAGAAGAGCGACTAGGGGTGATGCCTTGCACTCCAAATCCTGCGCTGTGAGATTGACTTGAGCGCATGGTAGTCGGGTCATTTGCGAGGAAGGCGTATGTCGTCGAAGGAGAAGCTACATTGCTGGCGCTGGCTGAGGTGGGCAGACCTGGCAAATCTTCCCTACCTGCGTTGATCACCGCTGACCGCGATTGTTCGCTCTTGGCAACCATTTCCGACGTCTCTGCATCGATCCTCTCCATCAATGCCTTGACTTGCTCGCCAAGCTGCCCATCGTTCTCGTCGGAGCTCTCAAGTTGTCGCCTCGCATTCCGTAGCTCATCCTTGAGGGACTCGATGACCCTCTGCTGCTGGAGGAGGTCATGTCCCAGGGCGCCTACGGCGGTAGTCTGCGTCTCATTCTGCCGTCCGAGGTTGTCGAGGCGAGTGCGCTGTGCTTGTATAGCGGCTGCAAGATCACTGCGCTCGGTACTGGATGGGCTTGTGGCGTGCTTCGGGGTACTGGAAGAGGAGGCAAGTCCTTCATTGGCTGTGCTGCTCGATGCCTCTGCATTGGTCGAATCGAGGAGACGTGCAGCGCTGTTGCGCGCTCGTAGAGATGCACCAGGTCGAGTAGGCGGCTTGAAAGCAGCCGTCTCTTGCACTCCGATGTTGTCAGAGGAGACGTTGGCCTCGAGGACCTCGTCCGAGGAAGCCATTGTAAGGGAAAGAGTCAGGGGTGGCTAGAGGGTATCGCCCTGTTCCTGCGACTCCAGTCTGCTGCCGTATAAGATGATATGCCGAGCAGTGAGACAAGGGGCAACGGTAGCTGTGGATCAAGGGCAATCCGTCAGCCCCCTTGTGATTGATGATGGGTTGGTAGTGGATGATAAGGGCAGACACAATGGGCGTACAAGGGCGAACCCTGCGTGTGCATCTCTCTCTCACCCACGCCCCCCGGTCAACACACACACGCCTCTGCGCAAACACGCACACAGACCCACCAGGCACGACGCGGGCTCAGCAACAAATGGCCAGGATTCACACTCCGCCCACGCCCGCAGATCAACACCACCACCACCACCACCCGGGGAAGACTTCAACGACGACTGGTACATCTCACATCGCAACACCTTGTTGAATAAGATTAGATTGATCATACAAGCATGGAATTGACGGGTAATACGATGCGCGACTTGATGTGGAAACCGAAATCTGATGGCCTTGTGATCTGATTGGGTGACTGCATGTTCCTGATTTCCCCTCATCTCGCCTCGCCTCGCCCCGCCCCTCCTCATGTCACACCCTCACTTCAGCCAGCCTGGCCTTGGCCTTCTTGCTCCTACCGTTGCCATTGTCTTCACGACCCGATGAATGCTCCTGGTCCGAGGTGGCGACTTCGCCCGCATTCCTCTTCCTGTTGCCCGTCGAGCTTTCACCGCCCCCTCCTCCTCCTCCTCCTAGCCCACCGTGCATTGGATTTGATGCACTACCGCTCTGAAGAGACGAATCCGTGCCACCTCCTGAACCGCGCGGCACGCCCATGACTCCCGCTACACTGTCCGACATGTCTCCAGAGACGGAGCCAGCTGAAAGAAGACTCTGAATCATGTTGATGTAGTCCTCATCTGAGAAGCCCATCTCTGAAAGGGGATTCGCCATGTCTTCTCCGTGGCTCGCACTAGTCCCGTTGCCATAGGGCGACGCTTCTCGCTTGACGCTGGGCCCGTTTCCAAGTCCAGCAGCACTGGAAAAGCCTCTTTCGGATCCGTTGGCTGGGGAACCCGGACCGGAACCCTCAGGCAGACCCAGCGCAGCGCCGCTTGCTGCCGTGGCATTCAAGACTCCTTGCAGAGCCTCTTTGCTGACCGGCGGTAGACCGAGAGACTTGGGGATCTGATCCATCTTTTGCACCGTCTTGAGATGAATCAAGTGCTTCTCCAGCATGCTCAGTAGGCCTTCCTTCGTAAATGGCTTTGGGAGAATGTCGTTCATGCCAGAAGACATGTAGTTGAGCAGCTCCATTGGACCAGAGTTCGATGTCATCGAAATGATGGGCGTCTTTGGATCGAACTCTCGGATGAGAGACGTAGCCGATACTCCATCGAGATTCGGCATTACGATGTCCATAAGGACCAGGTCGTACTGCTCCAGGTTCATCTTGTTCACAGCATTGACGCCATCCACCGCTACATCAATCGCACAGCCAAAGACCTGAAGGAACTTGGAGGAGAGTTTGCGACACACTGCGTCATCGTCGACGAGAAGCACCTTTGGAGGCACAGCCCAACCTGGTACAATGGTCGAGCGGCGTACGCGGAGCGTGTTCGAGGCGCCTTCGCCGGGCGTAGCAGTCCGTGAGTCTCGACTGCCGGTCTGTGAAGCAGAGCTGTCCCTTTTCGAATCAGTCGTCTGATCGACCTTGGGCATTTTGGACGGCAAATTGTCCAGTGCAGGGACGCGCAAAGCCGCTCCATCCTTGACAATGTTAGGATCTTCACTCTTGTCGCCGTCTGCACCGAATGCATTGTTGAGTGTTGATCCAGGAGATCCATTGGTGTCTACCCCAGCGTCTGTGCGGGGCTGCAGCGTACCGACGGTGAATACTTTCAGCCCTGCGCTCTCAAAGGCAGCCAGGGTGGGATTGTCGACGGCGCTGGCAGCATTGCTAAAGAGGCTGTTGGAATCTGCATCGTCCAGGTGAGGCGGGTGCAGAAAGATTCCCGTGTCATGGCCTCCGCCTGGGTTATTCGGCGAGGCCTGTTCTTTTCCCTTGTCGCTGCGGCCAAAGGCATCTAGCACATTCGATGGCCCTCCTGTTACAGAGGGACTGTCTTGTGCACCCATGCTCTTCGGGGAGAGGTTGCCTGCCGTGGTAGAGACCCTCCTGTGATGTGTGAGAGGCGTTTCCACGATACCCGAGGACCTTGTAGGAGCAGGTGTGCTCGTCATCGCCGGAGTAGGCCCCTCAGTCGGTTGTTGCTGTTGCTGTTGCTGTTGTTGTTGTTGCTGCTGTTGTTGTGTTCCGTTGTGCCTCTGTGCTATCTCAGTCATGTGACCAAACGCAGCATTGGCCACCTGCTCATACGAGCCCACCAATCTGGAAGCATCCTGATTTGACACGAACGGGCCTTCGCCAAAAGAGATACCGCCAGCATCCTGACGAATGCCCAGGTTCGAAGATGATGGGATGGCCTCCATCTTGCGATCATTCTCCAAGTTCATGAGATACTGGATCAGATTCTGCATGAGATGGTCCTGTTGGACCATGTTGCGCTGAAAGGTCAGCATCTCGCCGATGACGCCCTGATACTGCTTTGTCAGCTTGGCAATGTGGGCAGACATGGCGTCTTGGGTGGCAGTGAGGGTCGCAATCTGCTCCTTGAGCTTGAAGTAGTCCTCTGGCACCTTTTCATATGCGTCCGAAGCCGAGTACATCAAGGGACTGTCCCTGTCATCTGCTGCCTTCTTCTTCCCCGATGGCAGCTTTCTCCGCACATTCTCCAGTAGGTCCTCGCGCCCTCGTGCAAACTCAGGGTGCTTGAACTCCCAGATATGGTCTGCGGGACCAGTAGATTGCTCTTCTGGATTCTTGACCTTGTGGAAATCATACTTGTTCAGCTGTCTGACGAAGGATGCGAAGTTCGAATGCCGGAAATGCCGAGGCAAGACGTGTTTGGTGAAGTCATTCATGTTCTGATAAGAAGAACCAGTTGCACTCGAATCAGTAACGGGAGCGCGTCATACCGCCGTGCACTTCAAGCACAACTCACCCGCACGACGAAGGAATCGCCAGTGTTGCTCCAAGATACGATGGACGCGTATGACAGATCGTCCAGCATGGTGAAGAGCTTCTTCACAAAGTCGCTCGTGCCGGCCTTCTGTCTGCCCTTTGTTTTGCCCACATCTTCTTCATCGTCGTCATCCTCTTGCCCAAGAGAGACTGCGCTGCCTCCCCCAGCAGCTGCCTGCCAAGCACCGATCTGGGACGCGTTGCCGCTCTGATGCTGCTGCTGCTGCTGCTGCTGCTGTTGCGGTTGCTGCTGCCGACCGAGATTGTCATGACTTGGTCCCGCCAGACGAGGATCTGTCTGCGGCTGGTAGGGCTGACCACCATGAGGGAAGATCATGCTGTCTTGGGAGACGGGAATGGATGGAGTAGATGGACCTGAGCTCTGTGGCCAGCCTGCTCCGATGTTGGACTGGGACGGGTAGGAAGACGGTGGATAATGAGGGTATGGGTTGGGTGGTGGAACCCCGCGTGGTTGCTGCATATTGATGAGTGTCTGCTGCTGGCCAGGGTGCAGTCCGGACGACTGATGCTGTTGCTGCTGCTGCTGTCGCTGCTGCTGCTGAGCCAGAATGGTGCTATAGTCGGACGTGGACGCAAGCATGGTGGGGTCTAGCATTGCACCTCCGGCAGCGGCGCCACCGGCACTTCGGCTAGGCATCATGCTCGCAGCGCCTACCGAAGTATTCTGATACATCTGAGGAACCGCGGTAGTCTGCTGCTGTTGGGGTCTCGAGGTGGTGCCCTGACCTTGCTGCTGGTGAGGCCAGTGTGCTGCAGTCTGGCCTTGTGGCTGCTGCTGCTGCTGCTGCTGCTGCCAGCGATGGTCATTGCCCATCCCCTCCATCCATGGATGCTCTGACTGTTGTGGCGCCCTCCTTCCGGCCATGACGTCTTCAGAGCAGGCCGCGAGTGGGCCCTGGTTGCACTGGCCGGGTCAGTGCAGGTGACGTTGGACGCGTGTCCCAGTGATGATGAGATGAGCGAGTGGCCAGAGTGTGTGTGGTGATCTGGATCAGGATACAAAGGAAGATGGGATGGACCGGGTGGAGGCGGACCGGAATGGCAGGAGAGAGTATAGGCGGCGCGAGGGATGACCGGGAGAGAAAAAGGAGGAGATGGCAAGACGAAGAGGGGAACAGGCGGGGCGACGACGATGATGGACGACGGACGGGGGAGGAGGAGCCAAGGCCAGGCGGGGGGCGTGGGTGGATGTGTGCGGGTGGGGCGAGAGGGAGGAGCGGCACGTCGGTTGGTGGTGGCTGCTGCTGCTGCTGCTGTTGGCCCAGCCGTCATCCCCAGCCAGGCCAGGCCAGGCGGGCAGCCCACCTTGAGATTCCGCCCCCTGCCGCCGTCCTTTCCACGGCAATCGGACTCAGCCTTGGCTTTGCCTCAGACAGGTGAGATCCACCACGCGCACACCGCCATCTCGCCCCCCCCGCTTGCAGCTCCGCCCACACCACCTTCCCATGGCAACGGGTGATGGCCGCGCACCGCCCACAAGTACCCACCTCGCAAAGGGAACACACCTCCAGGGCCTCCCTGCAACAAGACTCTCCTCTCTCCCCTCTCACCTCCTGCTGGACATTGCCCCCCCCAGATCTCACACACGGACACAGGGCCGATGGGAGAATTACGGACACCGGTGCAATTGATCGGGCACAGTGCTACAGCCGCACCATGCAGACAACGCCAATGACTCGCCGAGGGGGAAGACCAGGAGAGGACCACGACCACCAAGGGCCATACGCCGCCTTCGCCTGACTCTGACTTTTAAAAGGCCATCGGACATTCC